AGTGAGAAGTAACCTCTCTGTTTCTGCTATTAGGGATCTACCTTTGAACACTCTGGTAGATTTGTCTCTCACTTTCACTTCCTTGAATTTCTTTCTGTGCAAGAATTGTCGACACAATTGATGTCGACATGCCATATTCTTTGCTAAACACATTTGCTCTAATGCCTTTTTCATGTTTTTTAATAATTTCCTGTTTCACCTGAATTGAAATCGCTTTTCTTGATTTCTTGGGACCCATGCTGGATTCAAAAACAATTTCAACAAGTGATATTTTAAGTTTAATTGCTGTAAATAAAGAATATTTTCTTTAAATCAACACTGCACTGCGCTATATATCATCAATATGTAAAATAAATTTGAAAATGACCAATAATTTGACTAGAAACACAGAAAAAAAGCATTTATGTTGAAGAGAGTCTGAAGATGTTACCTCCACTGAAGACACACACAGACTGACGAGTGCTTGGTGTGTTGACATGCTGTTTGGCGCGCTAAAAACTAGTTTCCCTGTATTCAATTATGTTAAATAATTGTTAAAATGACTAAAAATTTTAATATAAGACTTTTAAAATTATTGAATAGTACAAACTTCTTGATATTTACTAAAATAATAAGGAATTTAAGCCCTAGAACCGATTACTGTATTGGCGGACTAATACGACAGCTAGTGTGCAAGTGAAAACATGTTGAGGGGCGCTCGTAGGGAATTCGTTAATCGAGGGAATGCTTGTTAACCGAAGTTAAGAATCTTATGGAAGGTAATTCGTTAACAGAGGGATCACTGTACAGTATCTCTTAAAGTTTTAGCTACTTCCAGTACAGGTACTTAGTTTGTTTCCCTGTCAGTGTTGCTTATTCTTAATATTCACCTATAACACATTTCAAAGGCCACCAACCTCTTTCTGGTGTCTGCTGGAAGTGTTCACGCTTCTGACCCATACATTAGTCCTTGCCACATAAAGCCTTTCAGATACGAATGTGCTACAGAATACGTATATCAATAAATAAAGTAGAGAAATATGCTTACTGCTAATTGATATCCTAAGGGCAATTCGAATGGAATAGAGCTCCATGGATGTCAAATTACCGAGGTTTAGGTGTATATAAAAACAAACTCCACTACCAATACAGCAGTGCATGGAGAGGCCAAAATGAAAATTTAAGTTACAATCTTAGCATAAACTTTAAATTGAAAACTGATTCTTTTTTCTCAGCATTACAGACTTTGGAATTTTGAACTTTGTATATGCAGTAATAATTTTAATGTTATTTACCTATTGCATACACACACAGTACTGTACTATACACAACACATTAATATTTGTTTTACCTAATCTCTCAAATACAACCCTCAACTTTTACATGTTCTCCTATACTGTATATCATGTTAACCAAGGAATACATGTACAGTACTCCCTCTTTATCGACGGGGGTTACGTTCTGTAGACGGCCGTCGATAAAGAAACTGTCGATACCGTGATGGTTACGTAATTTTTCTAACTATTATTAGCATATGTTGAATAAATGTAGGTTCGGCGTGGCATCTTCTTCCACCATAGGCCTGACTCATCAGCATTAAAAACTTGTTCCGGCCTATAACCCTTTTGTTCTATGTGGTTAGCAAACTCTGCAGGGTATGCTTCCCCTGCCACAGTGTCTGCTGATGCTGCTTCGCCAGTCACTTTTATATTATGCAGCCCATAACGATGTCTGAATTTCTCGAACCATCCTTTGCTAGCTGCAAATTTTTTCAAATTGTCACCATCACCCTGTCACCATCACCCTGATCATCACCATCACCATCACCAACACCATGATCATCACCTTTAGAAAACTTATCATAAAGTTCCTTAGCTTTCTGCCTAATAAATTTCGAGTCAAGTGGTATGCGGCGGCGGTTTAGGTCCTCTATCCAAATGTTCAGTGCTTTTTCCATTTTAATGAGGGCATCATCACGCACATGGCTTGTCACTTTTGATGTCACTGGTGCACTTGAAGCTAAAGCGTGCTTCAGATCCTTTGCACGTCGTTTAATTCCACGCACACTGGATTCGTTGAGCCCAAAGTGGCGGCCAACAGCTGCGTAGCTCATACCGCTGTCGAGTTGTTTCAGCACTTCATTCTTCTCATTCAGCGTCAGCACTCGTCTTGCCCTCTTAGGTGTAGATCCAGAGGGAGCAGCAGGTCGTTTGGGAGGCATGGTGATATAAGTTGATGTGATGAACCACCAGCAAAAGTTGAAAATCAAAGACTGTTGCCCACGCGGCTTGGCTGATGTCTGTGTTCAGGGAAGGCGGGCCGCGGGTAGACGCTAGTCACGCCACTAGTGCCGCCTAGCGGCGAAAGTACAAACAAGACCCGCAGAGTTCAAATAAAGCCAAAATAAAAATCCGTCTAAATAATCCGTCGATAATCGAAACCGTCGATAAAGAGGGAGTACTGTACTGTATAGCATACAGGTATCTCTCGTTTAACGATCGTTCACTAAGTTTTTATTGGTGTTCCAAGTGCACATCTCTACTGTCACTTAATTGTTTATGCTACCCACATGCTCCATCTACGAGTGTTCACAGCCTGTCATTTGATTGTTGTCTTCTATGCTTCGCTGTTAATGCTCAGTACATTATCGATCGCTGTACATCACCGTTATTGTTGTGATTTACGGTTTACTTGTATTGAATATTGTACTGTTCTGTTCATTACCCTGTACTACTACTGTGACATTGTGTCAAGTGAGTGAACTTTGTGATAATGTCAGGAATGTGTGCAGCTGTTTTGCCATTTTCATCATGTTTTTTACCTTATGATAATTATTCTTTGTTGCACATTCTGTACGAACAATTGGGTGCATGAAACAGTAAAAGAAAATTACGTATACAGAATCTAACCCAAATTACGAGTTGAAAAATAACATAAATCACAGCTCAGTCTCACCCGCTGAGTGCTACTGTGGTGGCAAGTCGGCGACTCGGCTACACAATTATGTGCAATCTCCATGGATATTATTCCTCATTATCCCCTGTTGAGGATATTTCTCTCGTTTCCCTCGCTTAGCGATCATTTCACTTAGTGATATGTTTTTCAGGAATGCATCCTGACTGTTAAACAAGGGACACCTGTACTGCAATGACATCATATTCTTAGACATTCATACCACTGCCTGTGTCTTGTGCTGCTAACCTCACACTGAATGATTCATCATGTGCAATATACAGTACCCGTACACGTGTCCCTTGCTATTGTAATAGGTTAGGTTCCTTGTAAATCATTAGCCTATCTTGTTTTTAAAGTGATTAATGTAATAAATGGGAAAAATAAAGTTCACCTCCTAAATAACAAAAACCATGTGGTCCACATATATATGTACAGTACAGTATATATAATGAAGAGAACCAGGGAAAACACAAACAGGTAATATAATTCGGTTCATAAACAATAAAATACCACAATATTATACCCGAGAAAAACTAAATAAAATACATATACTTGTACTGTATAAGGTACATTACCTTGTGCATCTAAGGACCGAAATGACTGCCCTAGCTGACTCCTTGGCTGTATCTGGTGCAGGATTTGAATAACTGACTCCTGGGCTGTGTCTGGTGCAGGATTTGAATTTTCTATCAGACCAACATTCAGATAAGGAAATATCGCCTTCTGATAGTGAAAAAGAGGTGTGAAAACAGAAAATTTGGCTGAGAAAATTTTGGGATGGCAATCATTCATAGTATGGGATACCAGTACAGTGAACCCTAGCCAACTTGGACTAATTGGTGGAAAGGGCAGTCTGAGAATGCCAGAATCTGAGATCTGAGGGTTAATTTAGTCTGAAACAGGAGGATGAATCTGATTCCAACCTAGGTTTGAGAATCTAAGATGGAAGGGGAAGTCCACATCAAGTACCTTGAGAGATTTCAATACTGTATAGAGAATAATAATTCAGATACAATCTAACCGACTAATTTTTATTGATACTCAGGTTACTTTCAAGACATTATGGATGGACAACAATGCATTATTACTTTATTCTATTCCTTCCTGGTCGTTTTTATGGCATACCAATGGTAATGGAGCATATCCTCATTGAATTTAGTGTAAAAACATTAAATATAGTATGTCTTTAATGTTTCATTTATTGGAGAAGCATTAAATATTTTTAATACTGTATGTTCCATGAAATAAACTTTTAAAGGTTAATAAATAATTATCACATGAAGACAGTTGATATGCTGATGAAAATGTAGTTTTCCCTCACTATCAATAAATATCAACACAAGTGGGTGTGACGTCTGCCTATCACATGAACACTGCGGTTGTATTACATGTTTGAACTCTGTTACTCTTGAGATATTATGGACGAACAACAGTGCATTGTATAAAGATATTACTAAATATGAATTAAAAAGTACAGTAAATAAGAGAAATAATGAACTGTTTATGAAAAAAGGGGTAGGTAATCAACAAATAAAACTAACCTTAAAGTTCTGATGATGCACAATTGCCTTGAAACTGATGATAGATGCGACTTGCTTGGCTTTGACTACATTTCAACAGATCCACATCATCTCCACTAAACATCCATATCATATCCACTACACACCCACATAATCTTCACTACACATCCATATCAGATCCACTACACATCCATATCAGATCCACTACACATCCACTTCAGATCCACTACACATCCACATCATATCGCACGACTCAATCTGGTAGGCCACTCATGCCACGTACATCAGGACTTGGGAATCTTCTCGAACTTTTTTGAGACTTGTGACTTGTGGTTGTTTAAGCAGGTGGCCATGCCATCCATCCATTCCGGATATTGTCCGAGACGGATGGAAAGGTTTCCGAGTCTGATCCCGTCTGAGAATCGCAGGCGTTCAAGATAAAGGGTCCAAGTTGGCGAGGGTTTATTGTACATTACTTGACTACTAACAAGTTTTTAACTTTCTAGTCACATAGACAAAATTAGGATTAATCACTAAGAGTCCACATTATACCACTACCTTTTATTGATAATATACTGATGGTTACAATAATATTTAAGATTTTCAAGCAAAGATATTCATTATTATAATAGATCTGGCAATCTTAAAGTCAATTACATTTCTGATACATTGTGGGGAACATGAAGAGAACTAAAATTTAATTACCTTAAGTTTTTAAAAAAATTGATCACTAGACATACAAAAATTATATTATTATTTCTTGGCTGTAAACGTCTAATATCTTATCAATAACAGATACTCAGTGAAGTATCCAACGGTTCAATCAACATGTCAGTACTGAACAACTCCTTTAAAACTTAAAGTTTTGTAAAAAAAAAACAACAACACTGCTTTATTTATATAAACAAAAGCATATAGCACTTACAAGCTAGATAATTCTTAAAAGAAAAACCTTACACTTGGTACCTAATCAGTTTTGGATTTTCGTGCCATTAATGCTTCCTTGCACCAACCAAGAATAGGCTTGCAAGAGTGGAAAAAATTCCATTATTGATCCTTCACAGAAGAATATCCAGAGTTTACGGCAGTACCAAGAAAGATTATAATCCAGATAAAACTCCCCTTATTTATGGTTACAAAATTTATTAAAATCCACGATTCCCCAACTGGTAATACAAAACCAACAACCTCTCAGCAGAGGCTAAGTAAATTCACTCGATATAAACTAAGTTACCAGTTTTATTTAACGTCTCACGGTAGTCCAACCCTCGTCATCTTGCTCTTCCTGGGGTGCCCGTGACTTTTCTTCTTGCTGTTCTTCCTTCCGGGCTTCCTCACGAGAACGCCAAGCATTGCCACCACCAGGCTTCTCATCACCACCCCGCCTCTCATCTGGAGCACGTCTCTCCGGTCTCTCACGGTCATCAATGCGGGGTCTATACAGTACAGGTACATAAAAAAAAGAGTATATATATTACACTTTTGTGTAATTCGCATCTTCAAGGGGGGAGTACAGACTAAGGAGTAGTTAATAACAAGGCCAATATACACAGTAATGGAGAGTGAGATCAAGTCCCTAGGGACAGCAGGTGTCCACCATATTCAAGTCATTAATTACCCAACCCTTTTACCTGGTTACAAATGTTAATGAGAAAATTATCCAATTTGTACATGCCATTAATCAAATTCATGTTGACAAATTCAGCATGTTTAAAGGGACTAAATTCTATAATGTTCCTACTGACAATTGAATTACAAGGTAAAAGTGAGGAGGCATTAGTCCAGTCAATACAATAATTATTATCTCTCATATGAAAGAACAAAACATTGGATTCCTGGCCTGTCCTAACACAATACTGTATTTATGCTGTTTAAGTCTAGTTATAAGATTTTTGCCTGTTTGACCTTAATAGAATATATATATTACATTCCTTACAAGGAACCTTGTAAATGCAGCCACCTGCAATGCTGGGGGGAGTTCTTAGTTAACATTTGTTAATTCACATCATGTAATGTTATGACATACATACATACAGTGCAGCAGCCACGTGTCTGTGAGTCAGCTGGTTGACTGCCCGGCTTGAGTGGGTTGCATTGCCCATAGGATGATTTGAGAGTGGAAGGAGCTTTTTTTTTTTACATGAAATATGTGCTATTGTATTTTATGGTATGCTATATATCAATTTTATAGTTAATCATAGCATGTGATATTCAAGCTTACAATTCTAGCTGATGCCGGAAGATTTCTTATTTCATTTTAGTGCTACAGTAAAAGCCCAAAAATCCGGACCACCCGAGAATCCGGGCTTTTCGAAAACTCAATTTTTTTTAGCTGGCTTTTGTGTGTATGTGCGCATGCGTGAGCGCCACAGTTGCACAGCGACAACAAGCAACCACACGTGGTCGCCACTTTAAAACGAGCAATCAAACTGTGAAAATGTATGTAATTTTGAGTCCTACTCTTTCCATTTACAGAGTACTGTACAAGCCCATAATAATGGCTCCTAAAGTAGATAAACTTCGTTGTGTGAAGAGAAAGAAGAACACGTTGAAATTGAATGACAAACTTGAAATAATTAAAAAACTAGAACGTGGTGTGTAGAAGTACTGTTTTAATGGAAACATACGACATTGGAAAGTCTACAATTTATGATCTAAAAAAGGCAAAGAATAAAATTTGAATTCACAGCTTTTTCTTTAAAACTGCTCGTTTTGATAAATGAAGCATGCTATATTTGCTAATGAATAAACTATCAAAATGTACCTGTTCATCTCTTCTTTATTCTTCCTTAAATTTGAATTTTAAAAGTACTGCCTGAGAATCCGGAAAATCCGGACCGACCTATTCCCTAAGCAGGCCGGATTTTTGGACTTCTACTGTAGTTGGTTGAATCTGCGGGTTGCCTGGACTCTGGATAACCAGGATTCTACTGTATATACATACAGTAAACTTCCTCTAATCCAGAGTAATTGGGGAGAAGGCCTGTACAGTTTGACTGAAATTCAGGGTTAGGGGGGTCTGTATTGTTTATATTTCAAGGTGGAAAATTTAAAAGGGCAGGGGATTTCTAATTAAAGCTACCTAAAAAACACCAAACTTACTTTAAAACCTAGACTTAACACCCTCAGGGTTTTAAAGTGTCATATGATTTTTTTTTTAGCCACTTAGGGTTTTAACATCATGAAAAAAAAAATAAAATAAAAAATTCCTCAGTTTCCCATATGCTCTAGGCAGCTTGGTGTTGGCTCTCAGTACAGCTGTACCCTGCGCGCCACCCATCAGAATGGTGTTGCCGTCTGCTCTCATACATCTGGCAGCTGTGTGTGGTGTCTCAGCTGTCACACACAGCTCTATTCAAGCCTCGTGCCCCAAAGATACCTCCATTTGAGGGCCTGTATCATTTGTGTGTGTGTGTGTGTGTGTGCGCGTGTGTTTTGTACGTAAAAAAATATATGGAATAGAACGAGTGACTACCAATTTATATTCTATTGTCCCTACTCATGAGGTGGAAAAAAGTCTAGTTAACATTACATACTTAATTTTTTTTTACAACTTACGTATGAGTGACATTCATTATAGCTTGAATAATATTTGTTGTGAAAGATGTATTAAATCATACGGAGATCGAAGATATAAAACCAACCTTAATGAACAAGGAATAATTGGTACCTGAGATAAACGTAGGTGAACAGAATGTAGCAAACAAGAAATTAAAGAGAAATTAGCTGTGGAAATGACCACTCAAAGGTGATGTGGATAGTTAGGAAAAAGATTAATCTGACAGAGGTGATCAGGAATGATAATGTGGAATGGATATACTGAAAGAATGTGATGGGAGACTGAAAAACCAAACCAAAACTGTATATTGCATAGGTGGACTGTAGAAATGAATAGGAAGGCCATGAAGATGGCCTAGCGGAGTAAATGATACACTCCAATAAGTGGTGGACCTCCAGAATGCAATGCTGATAGCAAATGAGGAGACTCTTCATTAGCTCTACATTATAATAAAAGGCATGCAAGAATAAATCAGTTACAGTACCTGTCTCTAAGTGGTGCTGGTGGTCCACCAGATCGCCAAGAGCCCCCTTCATCTGAGCGAGATGGTCCACGGTCGCCTCCACGTCGATCATCAAGGTCTCCTCGACGGCCACCAAAGCCACGGTCTCGATCATCACGACCCATATCCCGACGGCCACCAAAGTCACGGTCTCCTCCACGACTCCCAAAGTCACGGTCTCCTCCACGACCCCCAAAGTCACGGTCTCCTCCACGACCCCCAAAGTCACGGTCTCCTCCACGACCCCCAAAGTCACGGTCTCCTCCACGATCACTTCTGCTGCCAAAGTCCCGATCACCTCGGACGAAATCGCGGCCAAAGTCACGATCAGTACGGGCTGATCCACGACGCCAGTCACCACCACCATCCCTGGGGAAGAGGGGTTAATAATTAATTGACTGACTAAGTCTTATGTCTTGAAGACCTATAATAATAGGTTAGCAGGTTTTGATTTCTCAATTCAATAGCTTTTAACAGCAAATGGGTTGCTCCACTGTTGCTACTGTCCAAAATATACTTCTATCAAGAGCAAATCCCCACCTTGACATCTTTTTACAATAAAAAATAACACTGTCCTTATATATGTTAAAAACACTAATAACCAATAAGGATACCCAATTTACATTAAATATTTTAAGAAGAAATGAATTAAATGAAGTTCTCCCAACAGCAGAATCCAGAAGAACAAGTTAACGTAGATACAAATATGAATGAAATTTGTAAAATGTATAGATGGTATATGCATATAAAGATGAAGGATTGACGGACAAAACAAAGAGGAAACAGTAATCTAAATTGGCCCCTAAGCAACTAAAATGAAATTAAAGAGACTATTTTTGACCTTCACAATAAAATGTACATACAATATTTACCACAAATTGAATATTTACACAAACTTTCAATAGGATATAACTGGCACTTTAGTTTTTCTCAAGAAATGAAACTTAAGATGGATGCAGAAGCAGATCAAAACAATATCTCAAATCCCTATCAATGTCACAGATTGGAGTATTAAATAAGTAATGTGAACACAACCAAACCTCATGGAAGTGGTGCATAATGATAAAACTTGTTCAGTATACAGTATGGGCAGTGTTATAAATGGAGAATGTATTTTAGGACCTGATTTTCAAATCATCTTATTCAAAGAAAACCATTCAAACTAAATAAAAATGAGTCAATACAGAATATCACTAGATGCATAATTAACTGAAAACTGATTATATATACAGTATATTACAACAAAACAATAAATTAGATTATCACAGGAATGGGTCTTATATTTGCATACAAAAAAAATCAGCAAACATTAAAGTGAAGTGATTACTAATTTATTACTTATGTAGTGAGAACTCCTTGTGTAAGAAACAAAATGACAATACATTACTCATTTAGGAACTATGAGTGTAATCACAATATACTGTAATAACAATTACTACTACAAAATGTGAAAAAAATTAAAACTACACAACATATAATTAGCTTATACTATAATGTGAACAACTATTTAAGTTAAAGAAATTGCTTAAAATCTTTGTTACCTATCATCTCTGCTTCCAAAGCTGCTTCGTTCATCTCTGCTGCCAAACCGATCATCCCGCTCTCTGCCAAATCCTCCACGGTCCTCACGGTCCCTGCCAAACCTATCATCTCTGTCTCTTCCAAAACTACGTTCTTCTCTGTCCCTACCCATTCCGCCACGGTCCTCCCTATCTCTACCAAAACTGCCCCTCTCTTCTCGGCGAAGAGGTGGTTCATCTCGTCTGATATCACGGTTGCCTCGATCCCTAGGTGGTGGTGGTGGTTCATCTTGTCTGATATCACGATTCCCACGGTCTCTTGGTTCCCTTGGAGGTTCAGGCTCAGCCTCAGGCTCTTGCTGCTGCTGCTGCTGCTCCTCCTCCTCCTCTTCCTCCTCCTTGCGACGCCAGACATCTAGTTTTTCACGTTCTTTCTCTCGCCATCCACCTGCAAGATCGCAGCAAATAAATACCTCCCTGGCATATAGAGGCCATTGAACACAGATAAATGATGGAAGACACTTGATCAATACAAACTACTGCAATGATAAAAAATCAATCTAATTATTAATATACAGTAAATGAAAATCCTGTAAAATGTGTTGACAGAAATAAAGGTCAGTATGACAATCTGGACCATAATTATATTCATCTTCAAAAATGAGTTTTGATGTCACTCATTACTTACATAATATTTGCATAAATCCTTCCAATGCAAATAATAGCATTCTTTTCACATAAATCCTTTTCAATTATATGCTGTGGCCAATAATGTCACCATTACCTACTTAATTATCTGACAAACATTTATGACCTCAATTCTATTGTATAGGAGTAAAATGTACAACCAGACTGTCTGAAGTTATAGAATCAAAAGAAATCAAGATCATTTGACCTCAAGAAACCAAAGGAGGCTCCAATGAAACAAATAAGATGAAAGCTTGTTTGTCCTATCAACAGCTTGACACCAATTAAAACAACTGGATCTAGGCTTGTTCAATTGACAAGTGATCATAATTGACCTGCAAACAAATGGACAGAAGGCAGTTCATGTTTATGATGTGAGCCCTTATGAATAACAACTTATAATGATTAGCTATGAGAGATCAATCGCAATAGCAAATTTTTATGTTTTGGGCTTATTTTTACCTATCCAAAAGGTTAGCCAAAGACCATTGCATTTATTGAAATAAACAACAATGATAATTTCAACAGAATAGTTGGAAGATCCAGTGCTTTCAATTTAGGAGTTAAGCAGTCAAAAGAATGTATGATTAGTATAACTAGGGTAGTCACATGTAAAAGACAAAAGTAGGATTTTTTGAAATAAAAGTTTAAGCCAAATCAGATCATGGTTAAAGCTCAAGGTTTTGAATGACAAGAGCAGATGAAGGTGAAGTTATTAGCTGGGAAACCTGAGTTTCTATCATCATCACCATTGTTCTAGTGCCATTTTCAATGCTTGCCATCCTGCAAATTTGAATTAAGTTTTAAAGCTGGAAGTCCTTCCTATCATCAACCTACTTTTAGAGTGGGGCATTATGTGTAGGATTTTCAAGTGCCCTCTCCACTGAGGTTTTGTTTTAGTGTGAATGCCCTGTATACTGGACTGTATTACAAAACCGATAGTGGATGAGTATTTCAACTGGATTAAGAGGATATAAAAGTAGCTAGAAAGATGAATGAAAACAGTCAAACTATGGCAGTGACCTTAGAAAATGCCCAACCCATATTGCAATGAAGGCCTATTCAGTTGCAAACTGGCATTACTACTAACCCAAGATTATTTTTACCTTCTGCCAGCATAGCTATTTGTTCAGAATCAAGGAATCCAACATATTGGAGAACTAGACAGAAAGGTGCAAGAGACCCATACATAATGACAAGGGAGGAGAGAAGTAAAAAGGAATATAGAAGATATGAAATATACTGGTTAAGTCCCAGAATATGGCTGTGTAACTGAAGCACAAGTAAATCGTCAATGAGAGAAAGTGAGTTAGGGAAACGTTATACATTTGACAAACTTCTCCTATAGTGGTATTTACCTCCACCAGCCCTCCATACTCCAGAACGCTCACTACTTTCTCGTTCTCGTTCTCGTTCTGGTTCACGTGCCGGTGGTTCTTCTTTTGGGGGTTCATCTCTAGAAGGACCTCTTCTCCAACCCGAGTCCTCAGTAGTAGTAACACGACGACCAGCATCCATCTTCTGCTTCTCTTCTATTGCCCTTTCTCTCTCTGTGCCAATTTCAGAATTTCATAAATGTCTATGCTTATTATTTTTCTCTATAAAGGGTAAAGTACATTCATTTTTCAACTACTACTAATCATTATCACCAAACCCCATATTTTCCTAGAATAATCTTTTCCACTTTGAAGACTACCAAATACTATTTGTAAATTCATGTCCAACATACCTAAAAAAGTGAATCTTAATAAAAAGGAAGAACACTGAAGTTGCCAATATTTCAAGGAATTGTTGTTTTTTACACACAATTAATTTATATAATTATATGAGTGGAACACAGTGACAGGAAAACTTGATGTGAACATTTAACACCTTGGATTAAATTTGGAAATCCCACTTTAAGACTGAGGGGAAGAGCCAAATAATTTGTAAGATTACCCCAACAGAACACAACTGATTGAGCCTACATTTGGTAGGTGCTATCTATGAAATCCAATAAGAGCAAAACATCTCAAAATGTATATACATAGAGTGCAGTATACTTAATGTTTGTGTGTCACTACAAAATTAAATGCCCTATGTGTTGGCTGGACCTCAGTCTCACAACCAGTGGTGCTTCTGTGTCCTCCACTACATGTTTATTATTGGCTGTCAACTTAGCAAACGCACCTCTTTGGAGTTCTGCCTGTCTGTCGAGCTGAGCCTTTCTTTCAAGATATTCTTGCTCTTCCCTCTCCCTCTGCTCCCTCTCCATCCTCTCCTGATCCTCTCTTGCTTTCTTCAGCTCTTCATCCCTACGCTGTTGTTCCTCCTCTTCTTTCAAACGGTAGTAGGTCTCACGACGTTCACGACGCCTAAAAATATTTGAAGATCAATTCTTCTAAACCAAATGAACTCACTCACTCTCTCTCACATATACTGTATATACCCTATATATACCATAAGGTGGGGTAACTGGGTCCCTCTTATAAATATTTTCTTTTAAAATCCTGAAAATATTTGGACAAGATTTTTTTTCCAAGGGCCATTTTTAATATCAATAGACTGACTTCATTTAACAGATATTTAAATAATTGAAATGATTTTAAATGATGATGTACTACAAAAAGCATAAGTAAAAAAAATAAAATAAAAAAATAATAAAAAAATTCTTATTCCAAATAGGGAAATGCTTAGGCCTGTTGGGTATATTATCTAAACAAGCTGGAATTTACAAGCAAGACTACAGTAATGATAGTTTACATAAGGAGAAAATTACCATAATGAACTTGTACAGTTCTACAAATTGATCATTCACCCACCTCTGGTCTTTCCTCTCAGCTTGTCGCTTCTTTCGTTCAACTTCAAGTCGAGCATTGAAATCATTAAGCTTTTTCTCAATTTCAGATCGTCGTGTTGACTTGAGCTGATTCAGGAAATCTGTGCGGTCGCTGCCCATTCGATTCAATCGCTTGCTATGTTCTAAGCTGACTTGATGTTCTTCAACAAGCTTTTTAACTCGATCTTCTTCTTGAGATTGCCAGAATTCCTTGTCCTTCTCCTAAATGGGGCAAGTTTTAGAAATTAGCTTTATATACATAAAGGCAGGTTTTACTCAATTTATCCTTGTGACAGTAAAATAATGCTACTGAACTGAAATTATTTTAATAATACTACCAATGATCACAATTATAAGTGACTTTCTTAGGCCTAAGGAAACAGTTTCTACAAGCAAATCTTTATATGTGGTAATTTGAATCTCAGAATTCTAAACTTTCAGACATCTCACCATTTTTTTTTAGCAGATCAACATCCCCTTGATAAACTGTAATTGTCCCAACCTAATGATCAATTGTCATGGTTTTACAATCATGTTACAGAAACCAAGCATAAACTAGGAAGGTACTGGTTTCTGAAATTGTGATAAAGATTTTCTATAGGATGATTTAATCATGGCTGATGGAATCATGGATAATGATCAACTACTACAGCTCCTCCCCGACTTACGACCTACTCGACTGACGACCACCCGGACATACGACCGCCTCAGTCGTACCAAAATTTCGTCAAATTACGTATTTTTGAGCCCCAACGTCAGTGATTGTGCTGTGTTCTGACAAAATTTTCGTTTGTAATTCACTTTAAAATGGCTGGCAAGCTTAAAAGTGAGAGTTTTAAGGTGCTGAGAAGAAAAAGAGACACCCATTTTAGATTTTCTATGTATCATTTACGCATTTTCGACTTACGACCATTTCGACTTAAGACCTGGATTTGGGTCCCTAACCCCGTCATAAGTCGGGGAGGAGCTGTATACAGGACCTAAAGAAATCCTGGGATATTTAAATTAACATTAAATGTTCAATTCCACTAAAACATTTTGTGGGCCAATCACTCATGGCACAGCCCCCCACCGCTCATCAGACGGTAACTCTCTAATTAAAGACGAAGTAAGCATCCATCAGCGCTGGAAAGAGCACTATCATTCGCTGCTCAACTGAAATACCGATGTGGATGTCCTGACTACCTAGCAGGTCCCTCAACATCCAGAGCTGACCCACCTCAGCTATCCTCCATCCCTGGATGAGTGCCATCAAACAGATGAAAAATAACAAAGCCTTAGGGCCTGATGGAATCCCAGCCAAGGTGTATAAAGCAGGAGGACCTCTGCTTACTAGCCATCTCCACTCTCTCCCGGAGAATATATGGGAAAATGAGGAAATCCCCAAGCTCTTAAAGACGCCTCCCCCGTCAATATCTATAAGAACAAGGGAGACTGGCCAGACTGTGGCAACTACCGCGGGATCTCACTGTTGCCCATAGCCTGCAAGATTATCGCCCGAGTCCTCCGAAACAGACTTCTTGTTGAAGCAGAAAACTTCCTCCCAGAATCTCAACGTGGCTTTAGACCATCATGTGGCACCACTGACAAGATCTTTGCTGCCCGCCAGATACAGAAAAAGTGCAGAGAACAGCGTCTTGATCTAACGAAGGACTTCGACTCGGTCAACAGGGAAACCCTCTGGTGAACAATAAGTAGCACAATGCAAGGACATATACAGTACTGTATATTTCCCCTTTATGTGGACACTATAAATTAGGAGAACAAAAACAACAGTAGAAACAGGGCTGGAGAAATTTAAGTAGCTAATGTGGACAGGTCTATGATCAAAATCACAATAATTTTCAAGGAACCTTTAGACTTCAACATTAATAGAAATGTTATTTTGATTGAAATATTTTTTTCCCATTAACTCTGATATCAATTCACCCAACCCTCATTCAAACAGACATACCTGTACTGTACCTATAATATAGGAGTTAACATCACACTTAAAAATTTATAAATGGCCCACTGTGAACCACTTTAAAATAATTAAGAATTACCTTTTCATCTTCCAACATCTTCTTTAAAAGTGGAATTTCCACCAGCCTTTTGGCTCTTTCAAAATAATCCACCTTCTTTTCCTGAGCCTTGAGTCGCTGCTGGAGTTCTTTTCGTTCCTTTTCCAATTCTTCAACCTGCCTCTGCAGAATCTCCTCTGCACCAAGGTTCAGCAGTTCCTGAGTGTCAATTAATATAAGAATAATAGTAAACGCGTGGAAATTTTTTTGTGTATAATACAGCTAGGATAACACTAAGCACTACAAGAGCCACAAGTTATTATGGTAAAAATTATATGGATCTTAAGAAGGCAAAATGCATTTCATTATTTGCTAAGTATTATACCCAATCATATTACCTATATTTTTTACAAAATATGTTCAATAAACACATAGCTATCTCGCTTAGTGATCAGGAAGTGTTTCTGGACGAGTGAGCCCCAGCCAAATTGGTGCTAAAGAGATCAATATGCGTTCCTGACTCAATTGTATGTACTACGGAAACTGTCAGTGTGTACTTTTAATTCATCACATCAGCACTTAACCTACTAAGAATTAAGTTATCATTATTCATGGTTTTAAAATTATATTAAAATAAGCCCTCCCCCAAAGCATTACTTGATATTCCTATCACTATGGAATACTGTAGTTATTTTACTGATATAGTTGAGTTACCCTATGAAGGGCCAAGTCAACTCAAACGGTAAAAGGGGCTGTAACTCCAGAAATCGTCCCGATTAAAAATGATCAAATCTAAGATAACAGCTTTTTGTTGCTATTGTAACATCTTATTATAGTTCTAAAATAATCATAGACTACTCCAATTTCAATAGATAACTCACCCATGACCAAATATTGGTTATATTTTATAATTTCCTCCATAAAACTGAGCAGTAGTGTGTGCTAGATCTATAGCTAACACATAAGCAAAACCACAAGAGTAACAATCACAATGGTAACTAACCTCTTCATCAAACTTCTCCATCATTTTCTGACCATAGGAAGTCTGTGAGATCTGTAAAAGCCTATCCTTAATTTGTTTGGTTTGAATTTGCTTCAACTGTTCTTCCTGTCTGGCTTTCTCACGTCGACTAGCCTCCCGCTCTAAACGCTGTTGCTCCTCTTCTTTCTGCTTCTTCAGTTGCTCCTCCTGAACAGAGAAAGAAAGACTACAGTATTAATATGCATATTTTGACATAAGAATATCACCTCAGTCTTACACAAGTAACTTGCTAAAATCTTATATTCAACTAGCATTGGGTGTAGCATAATATCATAAACAGTACTCTCTAGTCTTTGTTATTTTATAATTTTGATGTGCAATCAAAAAACTAAGACAATAATAATGACTGATTGTACGACTTATTCCTCACTAAAGAAAGATATTTAAGATAATCTAAGATGTACCTAATAAACGATTTTAAAAGGTTTCAGTATGTCATTTAATAAATTAAACCATTCTGAAAAAGATAATAAAACTTTACCTGTGCTCTGCGGATAGATTCTTCACGCTCCAAATTCTGGTTCTCAAGCATTTCTTTCCTCTCCTCAATGATGTGCTGACGCTGTAAGATCTTCGCGTGTTCACGCAACTTTGTTTGCTGGTAAAACTGGATAGTTTGGGCTCTCATTGGCTCCATTTCCTTCTGCAAATGGAGAGGAAAAATAAATAAATTTAATGCTTATCTATCTCTTTTGTGGTCAATACAGTAAACCCCTTCAAAAACAGACATCCCCAATAGCAGACGACTCCCGTCACCCAGACATTTGGGAAACCTGACTGTACTCGGCCAAGAAATATGAAACACACTGAGCTTATGTAAGTGTTTAACCATCTGTTCACACTAATTTTATCTGAAAGACAATAAAAGATTGAAAGTGCTGCAGCATTATAAACCTCTGCATCAGAATGCAAATATGCTAAATGTTTTAAAAACCACATGCAGACAAAGGGTTGACAATGAGTAAAGTGGATAAAAGGTAGAATGTCGCCGATGGCCTTTATTACTAAAGCATCAAGAAAAATGAACTGATCAGTCATTTAGATAAAGCTCTTGTTCCTAACAAGATTAATAATCTGTATCAATTAATCTAAAAAGGAACTTGAGACAACATATCTGGATTACCAAGAGACCTATTACTGTATATTACAAATTAAAACCCCAAAATAGTTGTCATTCAAAACTTAAAACCCTAAAAATCTTATTTTTGTTGCAGACTAACCACCTTTCATGAGGAAATTCAATTCTGGGCAAGGTTTCTATCTAGGAATCACACACACACACAGTGTATATGTGTGTGTGTGTGTGTATATATATATATATATATATATATATATATATATATATATATATATATATATATATATATATATATATATATATATATATATATATATATATATATATATATATATATATATATAATTTTATTTTTCATTGGCCTTCTTCCATCCCTCACTGTCCTTTCACCTTGCATTTTGTAGTCCTCTGGATCTGCCCCAATCAACGCTGAACTATATTATCAACCATTCTCATTTCTTAGTTATGCAGGTAACTGTTCAAGTTCACTGTGCACTACATATTCTATACTATAAGGCATTCACAAATCTTACCTTCTTATTATCAGGAACGATGAGGTCCAGACAGGACTGCAATGCTGAGCCTATCTGTACCAGTTGACAACGGACTGTCTCTGACGGCAGTGATTGAAGCATAGGGCCTTCTGGTAGATCCTCTCGCTGTGATTCACTCAGATCTGCACCAAAATGGATACACTCGCTGCGATGATCAACACGAATCTACAATGAAAATTACCAAATGAGTGTAATTAAGTTTTTTACTATTCTTATATAAATTTTTCCCCTTTCCCTTCCACCTGAATTATGCTTTTAGTCTTTAGCAATCTATCAATTCCCATTTCCTCACTAAGTCAATTCTACCTGCACAACTCCATTCTACTCTCTGCCAACTACCACTTATTATTCCTATCTTTTATACACTGCATCACAAACATTTCATATCTACTGTTTCTTAGGTGGTCGTCCTTGCATCTGAGTCCATGCTTCACAATCATATAATAATGCCACCTAGTTCTCCTCTTTACCTCCTTTGACACAATTTTCTCTCTCCATACATTTCTTAGTTCATTTCATCATTCCATTTTCTGAAACAATACCTGAAATATCTGTAGTCCACTTCCACCATTCAAGATACCATTTATTTACAGCAATCACCATTATTACCAAAATCTATTACACTTGCTTTTGCTTCTACCTCATCCATGAAAATACTAAGCAACTTGGTAACAGTATCCTTGATGTAATCCCACTTCCACCAGGAACCAGCTTTCCTCTTTTTGATGAACTACAATACTCTACAATGCATGACTCTCCCTATATAATTTCTGGACAGCATTCAAATATTTCCCCTGTATCTCAGAAACTTCAATACTCTTCATACTACTTTTTTTATCTACTATACCATAAGTGTGTTTTGACAAAAGAAATTCTTCCCTTTCTCTTGGTTTATGCTGAATTTGCAAAATCCAGATTTGCATGTACAGTACTGTACATTACAGTTTACTTTCATGAAAGAAATCTTGTTTGTGCTGAAATAAGGTTAATAGGTACATATATGTGCTTCATGCTGTTCACCTTTCCATGGATTTTCTTGTATGTAAACATCTGTTGTACTTGCTGACTGATTTTTTTTTGCAATGAGAATGTCTCTCCCAAAGCACCTACATTTTTTTCTACTATAAAAAAACTGCTGAAAAATATGCTAAAACTGCAAATTATGTGAAGAAAAAAATGGTGAAACAGTTGTACAGCTTGGCTTACCAAGTTGAAGAATCAAGCATACATCATATTACATGCTATCATGGAGTACAAACAAATTATAAATGCTGTTTAATAATCAATTACATCTTCAGCCAAGGCGATGACAAGATTAATGAATCTAGTACAGTTGTCTCTCGATTAACGAACACAATTGGTTCCAGAGTCGTTCGTTAACAAAAAATTTCGTTAGCTGAATCTATTACTGTATTTCAATAGGATACTGGGTAATTGGTTCCAACTCGCAGAAAAAGTATACATACAAAGTACTGTATACCAGTAGTAGGATTAACAAAACATTAAATATAAACTAAATACAGACTGTACTGTACAGTATACTGTACAGTAATAAATAAAAAACTAAAGAATACTGTACAGGTTGACAAACCTTTATCCGAAATTCCGAAAACCGAAAGTTTTTTGTGGAGCATTATTTTTTTTTTTTTACAGGGATTAGCCCACCCAGGCATAGATCATTGACTCACATTGGGGCCTGGGGGGCGAAAATGTAATAGTAATACTAATTTTAATAAAAATAATTATAATAATACTAATTATTTATAGTAAATAAAAATTTTAATTAAAAAATACACCAAAATAAAATAATAATGATAACAATAATAATGATAATAAAATTTATAATAATAATAACAACAACAATATTACTGAATTAATAAAATAATAATAATAAAGAAATGTACAAGAATGAAAAAAGTAAAAAGTGAGAAACACGACCTACTGTAGACCTATGAATTATTAATATTAATATTATTATTATATTATTATATTTTCGCCCCCCGGGCCCCAATGTGGGTCAATGACTTGTGCCCGGGTGGGCTAAAAAAAAAAAAAAAAAAACTAACCATTCTGAAAACCAAAAAATTCCGAAATCCAAAATGCCTCTGGCCCCAAGGATTTCGGATAAGGGATCGTCAACCTGTACTGTATTATAACTTATTTGAGGTGTATGTCGTATTCCCGGCAGCTTTTACATATCAAACAGCTGATTGTAGAGGCAGTCGATGATGACATGCCATATTCTTTAGAGTGCATTGGTTCTAATGCCTTCTTCATGTTTCATAATAATTTCTGCACTGTATATTATCAATATGTGAACTAAATTTCAGAATGACCAATAATTTTAATATAAAAAATGAAAATATATTCAAGAGCACAACTTTCTTGATATTTACTCCACTGGAAACGAGTGTAAACATAGAACCAATTACTGTATTGGCGGACAAGCCAATCAGCTGATGCGCACAACAAAGAGTGTTTCTCGTAAGGCTGTCGTTAATCAAAGTTTTGTTTGTTAATGGAACTGAAAATCCTTATGGGAGCCAATTCGTAAACCAAAATTTTGTTAATTGAACTGTTCGTTAATCGAGGGACCACTGTACTGTATATTGTTTCTCACCTTTGATCTTTTTTTTCTTCATATTTCTATTTCTTGATGGTTCTTTATTGTTACTATTATAATTACTATTATTACAGTGTTATTATTATTATTGTAGTTATTATTTTATTATTTTTAATTTAGTATATTTTATCATGTTTTATTTATTATGAATTATTTTTATTACCCTTTTGCGCTCCCCCCCCCCCCCAACGTGGGTTTTGGCTGCTGTACCTTTAATGAGCCAATAAATGCACAGTACGTATATACTGTATATAAATCAGTGTCCATTAATGAACCACTTTTTAAACCTTAATTACACACATTACTAATTCCATACAAAGACACCAATTTCTTAACATATTTTTACCTGCAAGTCATTATGGCGTACTAAATCAACCAAGATGCGCTCCAGGTGGAAGCCACTGACAAACACACTCAGCTCGAGGAGTCGCTTGAAAGTGATGGATTGGTAGAGTTGTGCTACTTGCTTTACAAGACGAGTAATGGTCATCTCTTGCAATGCTGTAACATACTGGGTCAATCCTGAAAAAGAAAATGAATTTGGGTTAGATACTAAATATTATGAACAAATACGTAGATAAGCAAAATATAAATGCATAAATAACAAATCATGAAGGATAGCAAATCTTAACATAACTTGACTGGATGAACTATATTCCCATGATGCCTGTTAGAGAAAAAGGTAGATGATGCCATATACTGTAACAGTTGGCGCAATATTTTGGGGCATCTTTTATGCTACAGATTATCAATTGGATGAAAATTTTATCTTCATTAGTAGCAGTTACTTAACAGTTGGGTGCTAAAGAATTGTGGTCATCACAAAGAATATGTGCTACTGGTTCTTCGTTTGTTGACATTTAGTTACAGTACAGAAACTATGACCAACTCCACTACCCACAAACCTCTGAAGACCCAAGGTAGAAGGCTGGGTTCTGAGTTGTTTGATTTAGTCTTGGTTATAAACTGACACTTCAGGACTAATATTTGGTAACACATGCTTGTCTAGAATGAATTATGAATACATAGACATCTTTCAGTATTGAATAAGATGGGAAAAATGGCTCCAAAAGCTGTGTAACAATGCACTTCACTGGGGAGTCTTCCTCAAGATTTATCAACTAGTGATAGCTAAAAAACAAAAACAAAGTTAATTTATAGTCCCTAGAGGTTTTACATATATTGTATATTACTTGAGTACACTCACCAAGTTCAGGATGCTCTTGGATCCACTCAATATTCCCCTGCATTCTTGTGCACAAATGAAGAGGATCAAACTCCACCTCCATCAACCGATATAGATTCTGCAGCTCCTGGGGCACTGCAGTCACCACGTTGAAACGCATTAAGTCCCTTTGAAAGAGTAAATAAATTAAAAAGCATGAATATCAAGGAATGCTGATATACATAGTATATGACAAAATACAACTTGCGTATGTAGTGTGTAACTGGGTTCATATATATATACAGTGACCCCTCGTTTAACGAACACCTCGGTTAACGTAATTTCGATTAACGAACTGCCTTCCATAAGGATCTTCAATTCGGTTACTTAACGAAGTTCTTACGAACCGACCTCAACATGTTTTCACTTGCACTGACCGGGCAACCAGCTTTAATATCAGTCCGCCAATACATAAATCGGTTCTAGGGCTTAAATTCCTTAATATTTTAGTAAATATCAAGAAGTTTATACTATTCAATAATTTTAAAAGTTTAATATTCAATTTTTTAGTCATTTTAACAATTATTGAACATAACTGAAGGTAAAGTGACAAGTTTATGGCGTGCCATCCAGCCTCTTAACACAGCAAACAGGAGTTAGTCTCTCTCTGTTTTCACTGGAGGTAACATCTTGCTTGAGACTCTCTTCAACTAAACGCTTTTTTTCTGTGTTTCCAGGCAAATTATTGGTCATTTTGAAATATATTTCACATATTGACAATATATAATGCAGTGCAGTGTTGATTTAAAGAAAATTATCTTGAATTACACCAAGAGAGCTAAAATTTTATGGGTGAAATGGTGCCATGGGGTGACTTCTCTTCCACCCCAATGCCTTCTCTTCTTCCTTCTCCTCCACCCCCATTCTAAATCCCATCATCATCATCATCATCCAGGAGCCTTCTACATACACACCTCAAAGTAAGTGAACTTTTCTACCATTTTTGTTGAATTTAGGAAATTTTTGGTGAGCTGGAACCATTAAAAACCCATTGAAACAATGGTTTCGTTAATCGAACTTTTCGGTTAACGAACGACCTTCTGGAACGGATTGAGTTAATTGAGGGTCTGTATATATATATATATATATATATATATATATATATATATATATATATATATATATATATATATATATATATATATATATATACACACATAATTCACATCAATTACATATACCGTATATACTCATCTATAACCCTCCCTCGTTTATAGGTCGACCCTGATTTTTTTGACCAAGAAATCGTTAATTTATGATATTCCTCGTTTATAGGTCAACCCAAATTTTTTAGGGTAATTGAACAACAAAACCTTCAGTAAAAACACACTACGTCCTATGAACTGAGGCTCGCCGTGCCTGAAACACCGAGTGCCGAAGGCAAATTGTTTACCATTTATTATTACGACACTTTACACTGAAACGCGGGTAGTTTCAACAAAAATATTGTATATTTCCATTCAAGTATTTATTCTAGTCAATTAGGAGGGAATATTATTGTAATAACAGTTTTTTTAACTAAACCATTCGAAAAGCGATTACGGTAACATCTTTTGAATGAAAGAAAGCGAGTCATTGTTTTCGTCACGATTTTATCCCACTTTCCACTGTAATACGTACGTAATTTCAGCAAAAATATTACATTTCCGTGAATGTATTATATCAAGCTCAGTATGAATAGAATATCATTGTATTATAACAGTATTTTAACCGAAAACTATTATAAAAACGAGTAACATCTCAAGAACATCGGAAGCTTAGGTAAAATTTTTTGTTTTCGTCATGTATTTTATCCTATTTTACATTAAAATACATCATGTTTCAGCAAACTACTATTTATTTCCGAGAATATATTCATTCAGGCACAGTTAAGGTAAAATATACATGTGATGTAACAGTTTTTTAACTGAAAACAATTCGAAAAACACGTGTACAGTCTAGCTGATACGCAACAGCTGGTGGCGAGTCATGCGTCGTTGTAAACAATAGGAGGTTGAAGTAGATTACAGGGTATTATAGTAAGTGTGAAATATCGAAAAGGTTTTTATTACCGGTATTTTTTGTAGATCAATGAGAACTGTGATACCGTGATGATATGATAAGTTAGCCTGTGCTAAGAACTTCAACATTGATTACTGAAAGCACGTTGTAAGGTAATTTAGCCTATTGTAAGTTGGTGAGCATCATTTGCTGAAGGCATTACACAGCTTTTCATTACTAATTGGTACATATTTTACATTTCCATTGTTTACTGGCAGTAAATGGTAAATATTTTTCATGTCTGAAGCTAAAAGTTGCTCCTCGCCCTTCCCATCATGCACGGGTTCAACCTAACAAAACTATTACGCATGTAGAGGTCGACCCCCAATTTTTTGCCTAAAAATTTGGTCTTAAAAACTTGAACTCACACGAGTATATACGGTATACACCACTGCAATAGGGTCGGGATATATCACGAGATAGGGTCCAACAATGTTCGCTATATACTAAATAGCGATATATAATTACACGTAATCAATGGGGAAATAGGGTTAGGTTCTGGAGGTCAAAATAAGTGACTAAACTTGACTAAACGAGTTCATTTTCTTACTAACTAAAGCACCAATGAACACCAGACTCAGGAACAACAGACTATTTCAATATCAATAAACACCAGACTCAGGAACACTAGACTCTGCAGCCGACGCACCATCCTTGGAACACCAGACTCGGCAGCAGACGCCACACTGCCACCCTCACTTGACAATCCCACACCTACATAAATGAACACCAAAAATATTAGTTACAGTATTAAATCTTTTCCATTAAGCTTTCCATTATCTCCACTTCACTAGCTGCCCATTGACACTCGCTTTAGAAATTGGAAGCTGCACCAGACTCAGCAGCTGACGCACCATCCGCGAACAACACTGCCACCTTCACTAACAATCATAAACAAACCAAAAATATTAGTAAGAGTATTAAACCATTTCCATTAAGCTTTCCATTATCCTCACTTCACTTTTCACGTCACTCGCAACCCATTTACACTCACCTTAGAAGTCGTAATCTGCAGCAGTCGGCTACTTTCTCGTCACTCACTCAGAAAGACTGAGCGGGCGTGTGTGAATGCATGAGTGAGCAGCTATGGTGGTGCCTCTGGTGAACAAATAACGCATTTGCTTGCCATGGCGGTACATTTGAAATATTTCCTTCCCGGTTTCCCTTGCGAAATAAAAAATTTATCGCTATATATAGGAAAATTTTGATAATTTTGGTAGCTGCGATAAAAAAAAAATCGTAATATAAAGTCGCAGTACATCCCGACCCTACTGTATTGGAAAACAATTTGCATTAAGTTTTACAAAAAAATAATAATAAGTAAATAAAAATTTTCATCATAAACTCACCTGATCAGAGAGACCCGAGTCGGTGGCTTGGGCAGAGAGAGAAGCGTTGCCAGCTTGTCAATTTTTTCAAGGGCTGATTTTTCTGTCTCAATGAATCTATCAAACTCTGGGTGAGCAGAAGGCAGTGGAATAGCCAATGTGGCAATCAGTACAATTGATGCTCGCTTGCCAACCTCCTCAGCTGAAATGAGCACACGGAGGAAGAATTATCAACCAGAATGTAAGAAGATCCCATGAATAACAGTGCATACCATAGAGGGTAAAAAGCCTTATTTATACACTTTCTCAGTCATTACAGACTGGCTACCACACTAAACTAGAGTGAAAAGAAATTTTATGCCTATTGACTGCAGAATTTAACCAAAGTCCACGTTGGAAAATTTCTAAATTCCTTGGCTGTGGCTTTCCACTATGGTTGTAGGACTGTTACAACTCAAGTGGTTAAATCCTACATTATCCCTCCTTCCCTGGACATTTAATGAGCATATCTAAGTTATGCAATAATTCATATAGAAAACATAATCAGTACAGTAGAATGTCATTAGCTCACTTAAGACCAGTCATCTTGGATGGTCTTAGGGAGGCAAAGCACAATCAGCCACCACACTCCACTAATTTATGAGGCAACCTTTACATAACATAATAAAGTAAGTTCAAAAACTCTATAGATAAATAATCCTGACATTAAAACTAACTCCTGTAAAATTTTCTCCATTTTTCTCACCTGTGATATTCTTTTTCTGGTCCCTCAATAACTGGAAAAGCTTGAAGAGGGCAGCAGCATGGAACAGCATATTACCAGCTTTCCAAAATACAAGGGACAGCTTCTGGTAGTAAGAGGCCATTACATGTGGCTTAGGCATCTTCTTTGACTTGTTCATGAGGTCTGAGATATCCTCAATGGCTTTGTAGGCTTCCTGCCACAATTCCATTTTGATGGCATATGTGAGCTGCTCCAGACGTGTTTCCAGATTCATCTTCAATGCAATGAAACATTTTAATATAAGTAATTCAAACCAGGTGTGGGGAGAAAAGCTTATCTTTGAATACAACTTTAAAGGGAACAACTATTTTACCAAAATCCTGCTGAGCTGCATAGAGGTCATGAAAAACTTTCCCATTTACACCATTAAACTAGAATTCATTACAAAGTACTAGGACCATACACCCCCTTACTTGCTGAGTTTCTGGATTATTGAGGTTAACAGCTGTTGCTGACCCCTGTTGTTTCTGGATGTGGGATAAGTGAGTACGTAAGTTATCACACAGCTTACGAAACTCTGTCTTACGGCTGTACTTCTCACAGAATTTGAAAGCCTGAAATGGGAAGATAATATACAGGATCTGGTCAGTGTCTGCAGTATTTACCAGAATTGAAAAAAAATTACTCTTCAAATTTTTTTAACAGTAGGAATTCACTGCAACAAAAGTGATTATTCCTATTAAGGGCAAAAGCATTCAGTGCTATGTACACTAATGTTTAAATCAAGGACAATTGGAATGCAATTATAGTCTTTTCAGAACTCATTGGTTTGAGATTAATCATATCAATGACCCTCGCTCACTATTAAGAGAGTTGTACTGTACTACTATAATACATTCTTAGCCATTTCTTCAGTCTGACTTTGCTCATCAACCGAATATTACTTTTAAAGATGATGATAAGGCAGAAAAAAAAATAATTATATTTTTGGATCTAGGAAAGTAGAAGATAGAGCAAAAAACAATGTGGGAGGTACTGGATACGTATGGAGTTCAAAAATGTTTACCTTTAGGAATGATTCCCATAACTCTCTTTATGCCCACCAAGACAATTCCCAATGCTGTTATGTTAAAATTTTTACTGACTGCATTTGAATGATTCACTGTGCAACAATTCTTTGTTTATGTTGATTTTGATATGTTTCTTTACTAATTTAGACATGCTGATTATTAATCTGCCATTGGTTTTGCCATGCCATCAATATTTTAAAAAAATTAGCAATATCACACTTTTTCTCAATTTTAATGCAACTTTTGGGGATTTTTGTTAAAAAGCAAAGCGATTTCAAATGCTGACTTTTCATCTTCTGAAGAGGGCGAGGATGTTGACTTTCATGTAGCAGACTCAAGCAACTCCCCCCATTTTCCTAATCAGCACGAACTGGATGACTTAGTCAGGGATGTAGGTCTTACCGAGGAAAATGATGAGGTTTTGACACCTCGTCTCAAGGAGTGGAATTTACTAGATCCTAGTTGCAAAATTAGTACATACAGGAAAAGGCAGCTAACTTTACACCTTTCTTCAAAGTTTTGGAACTCAATTTGCTGTGTTACTGCTCTGGTGTCAATGGCCTTTTTGGCCAAATAGGCATTGAGTACAACCCCTCTGACTGGCATCTGTTTATTGACAGCTCAACAAAAAGTCTTAAGTTCACTAGGTGTAATTCAAGATTATTTTCTTTAAATAAACACTGCACTGCACTATATATTGTCAATATGTTAACTAAATTTCAGAATGACCAATAATTGTACTGTAAAAATAGTTTACGTTCAAGAGAGCCACAAGCAAGATGTTACCTCCACTGACCAGAGATACAAACTGACACCTTGGTGGGTGAGTCAAGTGGCAGATCGGTGCACCAAAAACTAGTTTCCTGTACTGCAATTATGTTAAATAAGTGTTAAAATTACTAAAAAAAATTAATATAAAACTTGGAAAATTATTAAATAGTACAACCTTCTTGATATTTACTCAAATGGGAACGAATTTAAGCCCTAAATCCGATTACTGCACTGGCGCACTAATATTCCAGCTGGTGAGCAAGCGAAAACATGTTGACATGATTTCGTAAGAATTTCGTAAACTGAAATTTTGTTAACATACTGTGTGTGTGTGTATATATATATATATATATATATATATATATATATATATATATATATATATATATATATATATATATATATATATATATATATATATATATATATATATATATATATAATATATATATATAATATATATATATAATATATATATATATATATATATACACACACAGTATATAACATGAAAATAGTGTTCAACTGCACTGACATATTTTTGTTAGATGAACTGTAAAAGATTTAAAGGTAGAGTGGCTGCAGGTAAAATGTCTTTCGATAGCATTAACATTATACAGCAGGTTCTTTGAAACAGTTCTTAACAGCTATTGAATATTATTCCTGGTCAGACAACTAAACAAAAATGAACAAATTGAACTAAATGCTATACAGGTGTGTACAGTAATTTCATATTGTGATGTGATACAGATCATGCAGGTTATTTTGCCAACTCAGTTATGACAAAACACTTATGATCTATAAGCAGTACAGTAATGTGATACAACTCTTCACAATATCTTGGTTTATCTTGGTAATGATAGATTAATTGCTAAGATTACAATAATCAGACCACACCTGTTTGGCAATGTCATGGTAGAGTCGCTCAACTCGCGAGTTTGTACGCAGGAGCTCCAAACACTGGCGGTAACTCTCCCAGAGGAATTTGACCCATGGTGTGAGGATTGTTCTGTCACTACGGTCCTGTTGGGCATATAACAGTACATATATCAAAACACAAATATACTAATATTGCTACATACTTCACTGTACAGAAAAAGTATTTTAAATAACAGACACAACTAGGACTTAAAAATATATGTTTGCAAATACAAACCTGAGCATCCTCTCCCGAAACAGCAGATAACAAAATTTCTTCAGGTGTTGCCAAGTTGTCTAAATCATCAACATCCACAACAGCTTGGTGGCTCTCCTTACGGGCAGCCTCTGTCCGCTCATCAGCCAGAGACAAGTAGTGCCGCACAACAGTCTCCAAGGATGACACATTTACCTAAGGGCCATTTTTCACTGAATAAATGCTACAGTACGTATTGTTGTTTTGTTTTTCTATGCCATCATGATAAAGATGACAAAAGTCACTGACTATTCTCAATAATTAGTGAAAAACCAATTATTTGTTTAGTACAACAAAACTATAAAAAATAATTTCAATCAACATCATATATGCCACTGGCACTACCGACACTGGTTAAGATTTAAGTTACACCACGGAACTTCCTACTGTACTGTACTTCTATTTATATAGGGAGAAAGACTCATTTGCAATGGAAATGAAGATCAGATTCACTTGAAACAACACAATATACACTAAGAAAACCTTATTTTGTTAGTTGGGTACAGTAGTTTCTGTACTGTAATTAAATGAATCTTTACCCAGATACAGAGTAATTAATATATAGTAATCATATACAGTGGTCCCTCGGTTAACGAACACAATTCGTTCCACAGAGTCGTTTGTTAACCGAAAATTTCGTTAACCGAATCCATTGTTTCAATGGGATATTGGGTAATTTGTTCCAGCTCACAAAAAAGTACATACAAAGTAAAAAAAAAAAAAAAATGCAGTAAAGTACACTTACTTTAAGGTGTGTATGTACAAGGTTCCTGGTTGACAATGACAATGGGAATTAGAATTGGGGATGGAGGAGAAAGGAGAAGAGAAGGAAGTGGGGATGGAGGAGAAATCACCTTTCAGGGAACCCATGCTTGATGCAGTAATTTCACCAATAAAATTTTAAGTTCACTAGGTGTAATTCAAGATTATTTTATTTAAATCAACACTGCACTGCGCTATATATTATCAAATGTTCACTAAATTTCAGAATGACCAATAATTTTAATGTAAAAATGCAAAAATATTCAGGACACCAACAAAATCGATGTTCAATCCACTGTAAACAAAGCCACAAAGACACCTGGTGGGTGGGTCAAGCGGCTGATGGGCGCACAAAAGACTAGTTTCCTGTACTGTATATAATATCAATATGTTAATTTTAAAATTACTAATAATTTTAATATACAAAATGCACAAATATTAAAGAGCACAACTTTCTTGATATTTACTCCACTGGAAACAAATGTAAACAAAGAACAGATTACTGAATTGGCAGACTAGCCCATCAGCTGATGCTCACAACAAAACGTGTTTGTCGTAAGGATTTCGTTAATCGAAGTTTTGTTCGTTAACCGAAATGAAAATCCTTATGGGAGGTAATTCGTTAACCAAAATTTCGTTAATAGAACTGTTCGTTAACCGAGGGACCACTGTATAATGTACTGTACACACACACAGTACAGTACAATAACCCCTAACTTATAATGAGTAATACATGTTAAAAATACTGCACTCACACTCTGAAAAATGTTTCGATACTGGTAGAGACCTTCCTTGGCCAGATGAGACTTCTTGAGGTCAACACACAGCTCTAAGTACTTGAACATAATAGGCTCCAGAAGCTTCTCAGAGTAGGTGTTACGCATCTTGCCTCTTTTGATGACTTCATAGAGGACCTCCAAGGCCCTATTAGGTTTCCCAACATCAATGAATTCTGAAGTGTAAAAAAGTAAACATAACTACCAATGGCAATATTATTGATCTATAAATAATAAGAATACAATTATAGCCAATGTCGTGTAAACTTTCCACCGTAGTGTAGTGATGGAGTATTATGTTTATACAGAAATTTAGCCTAAAATGCTTCAGAGCCTAAGAACACTCCAGTACTGTCCTGTAACATAGTAAATCCATCTGAACACCAGGAATAAAAAAACTCTTGATCCCTTAATTGATTCTACTGTAAACGACCCTCTCCAAAACAAATCAAGTTACTGTACTGTAGTCTCCTTTAACTGGATTAACTACATAGCAGTCAGCTGGTTAAAGAAGAATCCTAGTAACTGATAAACATTCCCTTAACCAGACATGTTACTCTGGCAATTTGCTTTATTCTTGAGTCAAGAAATAAATTTTCTTCTATTGATATTTTCCTTGGGTAGGTGGAAATCCTGGACCCTTATTCTTAACCATTACTCAATCAGGGCTATTATTACTGCTAATTTCATTTACTGATCACTTTCCTAACATCTTTACATGTTATTGTCAATACATGAAGGTGAATTCTAAAGATTATGTTGGTTTGCAAACAATTCGTTATATCATGCTGTATCCAGTGAAATTGGTTGCAACATATGCAACATTAATTCTTTAGATATGATAATGGTGAATCATGTTACCAGCCCCAAAAATTTAAATAATAATTTAAAGGTACCCTGTATCGTAAAATTTATAAAAATATTAAATTTTTTTAAAGTATTGTACAGTTGCCTATATGTTTTTTTCTCATTCGGTGATTTGCTATCTAACGTAAAACCCCCAGTTATGAAAAACTTTTGTTACAGATATTTCTTTGTGGCATCAAGAGATACTTGGGGTCCCGACAAAGGCATTTGAGAGCATCATGCACTGAACATGGAAAGGATACACTGTGCTCTATAGCCATGATCTCACAAGATCTGAAGTGCTTCTTTCATATACTCAGAAAAAAGTGTACAAGTAAACACAGTATCAAGATGTTGCCATGCATGGAAATTACTATGGAAAATAGGTTTTCATAGTGTTTAGTGTTTTTCTTTATCTATATTCATAAATCACCTGTAGTAGACAGATCATGAAAGATGAGGGAAATTAAATCTCTCCACACTTGTAAACGAAGAAATAAATTTTTTACCGTAAATATTCTGTCAAGAATTCTCCCATGGCAAAGCTTAATGTCATCCACTCTTAAGATAAAAATTCCAGTCTATGTAAACATTAAAAGTAACGACAGAGGCTTTCATTGGGGGTTTTATTACCATAAATATTGGCTCGAGTGTCTTCTGTTTAAAATTTTATAGACTTCACTTTCCTGGTTTTCTTGTTAATGGCCTGTGCAAATCCCTTTTTTCCCCCTTTGTCACAAATATGGTTCCTGAACCTATTCTATAAATAATGGGTAGATTCATATACGTAGCTGGATTTGAATCCCACATTTTGGGTTTGGATACATTTCCAATTTCTTTCAAGTAGCATTGGATTCTAAGCGAGCTGCATGTTCGTATACTTTTTGTTCTTTCAATGGTGTTATTGCATCATGTTCGGTTCTGTATCGCAAGTTATTTGTGCTTGTGGAGAATGATGTCGATCTCCATGAGTTCATCTGTCAACATGGACTAGTTGGCAGGGGGTGTGCCCATTTTGTCACCAAATTTTTTACCAATTTCGTCACCACTGTTTTTACCCATTTCGTCACCACTGTTTTTACCCATTTCGTCACCACTGTTTTTACCCATTTCGTCACCACGTTCATTCCCATCACAGTTTCAAGGACAATACATTCCTGAAAATTCTTATATAATTAATACATCTACTGTATACATACACGAAAATTTCACTAAATTTGCCTAAATAACTGTTGCTTGGTATAGAAAATAATCAAAACACCTAGTTTACAAAATTGTATTACGAAATTATGCCTCGGCATAACAGTACATTGGATCATGCCAGCATCTCACTAAGACAATTTATTAAAGAAAATAAAAAAAAATAAAAACATTACTACTCATGCAAGCATCTCACTTAAACAATTTATTAAAGTCTAAAATAAAACAAAAGTAAAAACATTAAATATGCCTGCAATCATCTCACTCAGTGTGTGAAAGACTAAAATTTAAAAAATAAAAAATAAATTTTATTACTCATGCAAGCTTGGAAGAAGACTGACAATTTTTTAGGAAATTAGAAGCGGTAATATTTTCTTTTCATATTCATCCCACAGCTTCCTGAGACGGACATGTTTGTCATGATTTGCTTTTCCTGTGTACAATTTTAGCTTGTGCTCAGCAACTATTTGTAATTGCAAATCAATAAAGAAGAAGCAATCACCCTCATTTATTCTGTATTTTGTTTATTTACCAATGTTTTAATCGTTTTCTTTACTAAATAATTAATATTCATGTATAATAACACAATAATTCTCGAAACGTCTGTATACTGTACATGTGTAATTTCTATTCGTGTAAAATAATAACTTACAATTTGTCACTCTAATACCAGCGACTAACAGTCTGTTAGTGGTGACGAAATGGGTTTGTGACGAAATAGGGTGTATCCGTTGACAGGATTTGCAAGTGTTCAAAATGCGACAAGGAACTAACAATGAAGAAGAAATGTGTTTCAGTGCAAGAACCAATAAAACAAAATTTACAAAATGAGGCTTTAAGAACACTGCTTTCATTGTTATTTGATATAAAAGTAAGATTTTCTGCTTAATATGCCCAGGGGTTCAAAAGGTGGAGCCCCCAGTTAGGTTAGGTTTTGTGCATTGCCTTTTCCTTGTTCAGTATCATGCAAATAACATCTCCATAAATTTTGGTGCAATTCCATAAGCATTTTTTACTGCAAACCATCTCCACCACCAATACTGTCTTTTGTTCCATCTCCCTATAGCTGTAATTATCAACATATATTTCCCTGCTTGGCAACTACTAAATATTAACCCTTGTGATGACAACTATCATATCATATCAACATATTGATCCAGTGTGTGGTTGTGGGCAAATGTGCATTAAAAGTTTTTTGGTTGCAATCAATAGTTTAGTCAATTATCCCCCCCCCCCCCGGGCATATATACAGTATGTCATTTGTGAAGGAAAAGTCATACAAGAAATTTGTCTTATAATTGACTAAACTATTGATTTCAACCATAAAATCTCTCAAAATTCAATAACAGGTGACTTGTGCAATAATACCTGGGTGTGGTTTCTCTTTACCAAGGATTAATTCGTAATAGGGCAAAATTTAAATATTTTTAGGGCTGGTATACAGTACACAAATAAGCTAAGCATAAGACTACCAATGGAGCCAAACAATGAGAATGACATTTGCTACATCAAGGGAAAACGTCAAAATTTTAAGCTTGTATACATACTAAGAGTTTTGGTTTGCCTGTCACTTCAGTATAAAGGCCCCAGGAATCGAAATATGGAAAGAATGGTCCTCAAACATCAACTCATTAACCCGAAAACAAGGAAAGAATGACAACTGTGGTGAATCATTGGAGAGTGTACACCCGGCTGGCCATCATGTGGTGGCCAGGGACTCATGTTATCAAAGACTGGTCTACTTCATCAATAAAGTCATTCTGAGCTTGATAACTGCTGGAATAACTAGTATGTCTTTCACGCTATACAAAAGTGAATGATATAATAAACATAAAGCATTCATCCTGCCATATATATAAACACATTCTTCCCCGGACACCAGCAGCTGCTTGGAACATAAACATGTCTACCATATTATGTCTACAACTCACCACTGGCCCTTTTAAGAGCATTCTCCGGTCTCTGATATGATCTCGACATCGTGAAGGTTTTACAGCATTAAGGTGAGCCACCCAAATACACTTTAAGGACTAAAACACAGTAGGGACCTGGCCGCCACACCAGCCACTCCGTCGCCTCAAGGAAGTGACGGGCTAGAGTCTAACATCTTGTGAAAATATTAAACTTTGAGAACATATCCTTAAGGTATACATATTTAATAGATATAAGGAATTTATATTTTAATATACATACAAAAATATAAATTTAAAGTTTATCTTTATTTTATTTCGAATAATGTAAAGCAGCATCCGACATCTCAGCCCTTCGAATTTTTATTTAACATTATCCATCTTATGACTGAAAATTTACTTATCAGTTTTCATTTTAAAATCTTTAAAATTGAAAAAAAATATATAAAAAATATTTATTATATCAAGGGATGTAAAATAGTAAATATAGTTGATAATTAGGTATAGCATCTTTATGAATTGAGTATGGCAGAAGGACTGAAATAAAGAAGGAAATTTACAACTACGTGTTCTTAGTCTTATTACTCAATATATATTTATTTTATTTATTAGCTGTTCGGCCGGTAGATCTGTACTCTAGTTAGCTCCCATAATTTTTAATTGCTGTTGGATTTTGTGTAATTACTAACCGTGTTGCGTGGTTAGACCTTACACAGCAGCACTAACAGTATAACGTCAACTGCCCCTGTTATAACATGATGAAACCGGAGTACCCAGAGAAAACCTGCGATGTTACACAGGATAGCACCCTTCTCTTTACTTTACTTCCTCTTCGCCACTGATCGGCAAGTACTGTTCCAAAATATATCTGAATCTGCGCCGTTACTACACTGGCAAATTAACCCAAAAGTTCACAACCCTCATTCCAAAATGTTTGCCCTGACAATTTTCCAAACATATAGCTTCTTCAACCTAAAGCTGTGAAATACTCTAGAAACAGTTCATTGAAAATCCATAACGCGTACTCAGCCTCTACTGCTGCTTTATTCTATCTGCATACCTAATAAGTCGATGTTTGCAGAACTTCGTGACCAATATTATATCTTGCTTTAATATCCAGATTAAATCTCACCATCTTGTTTTGAATACTTTGTAGTTTAACCTTTAGATGTTCTAAGATGGCAACTTGGCTGTCTGTGGTAAGAAATTACGCAATTGCAGACGTTATAATGTCTCTTGGTAAGGAAGGTGTTGGAGAACAATATCAGTTCTGTAGTTGTCCTTTTTACCTTCTCAGACAAGTGCTCATTTTTTTTGGCATATCAGAAACCAAAGAGTATTATCATTACTTCTGGTCAGGAAGCGCTACACTTTCGAAAAGGTCATAGAGAGATGGACCATATAAATTTGTGACTGCTTGTGCTTGAATTAGATAGGGATCGTTTTGTAGTGTTTCACAGTCGGTTAGATTTTGTTTTTATATCCCTAAATAACTCAGTATTATATGAAACAAATGACCAACATCAGTCGAAGCGCACTGCCTTGTGGTGTACCGCTTGTGGCTGGAACTAGTGACTATTTCGTCCCATTGCATACTGATTTCCATATCTTTCCAATTTAATTTTCAGACTTACATGAGGTACAGTAGTCAAATGCTTCGAAAAAAAAGGTATTTTATTGTCATTATTACCCCCACGTTCAAGGGTCTGTGACCTATTTAGTTCTCTTTTTGGCATCGGGTTTCTGATGACTTGAAATAAGTAAAATAACTTAAAAGACACTTAAAATAAGTCAAATCAGCGAAAATTCAATACAGTTTGAGTTTTCGAACTGTTAACTGAATATACAACTTACGATGATTGTCGACGAAATTAGCCTACTAAGGCACAATCGCCAAGACACGAGTGAGTGACCGCGGTAAAGAATGCTTTCACTTCCGTGTTATTGGTACAGTACACCAGTTCAACAGAATACTGGCAAACCAATGATAAAGCATACTTCACCAGGTTTATTCATGCAACAAGGTGGATTCTCGGTTTGCCTGACTTGAATAGTAGGGCGTTGGGAGGCAGGGAAGTCAAACCAGAAGAACACTTGATCAAAACTGGATGTAAAATCCGTGAACATGTTATGTCTAATGTTTACTGCGTGAATGATTCAGTAGAGTGGTGGACACTAACCATACGGTGATCACTAGCAATACGCGGTGCCAGTGATGTATGGCGGGTGTGGAACTGTGTAGGACTGTAGGGACAATGAGCGGTAGTATCATACAGGAGGGCTAAGAGACCGGATGATGAAAGTCAAAATGCTGTGTGTGACAAGGGTGCCAAGGAAATTAAAACTAAAGGTGCATGATACAGCAATTAGGCCAACGGTGACGTGTGGAACAAACTTCTAGGATACACTGAGGAAGGAGATGTTGTTAGGGGGAAATTAGGTGAGGAATTAAGGATGTTACGATGGACGTATGGAGTGTCATTCAGAGACCGACATGTATGATCAGTAAGATTGAGAGAGGTAAGGATGAGATGATTTGATCTTGTAGTGTGACGACGGGAAGCGACCAAGAGCCTGAAAATAGTCAGTCAGAGGGAGAAAATCAAGAGGAAGACGAAGAGACATGTAGATAATAGGGCTGTGAATAAAAGACATATTTGCCTGAAAAAACCCACTAAATAGGGGATTCGAGAAGCCTACCCCTAACTATTGCAAATGGCTACAGGAAGAAGGTAACATACAGGAGTGTACCACACAGCGGCGTTGCCAGAGGTCACGTTGTTTCAGACACATGTCAGACCAGGTTGAGAACGAGAAGCAACATCTTGATGCATACTGTAGGAATCTCACGCCACAGATCAACAGACCTGAATTTCCCTGTCTCTAGCATTATATTGTGTGCGGTTCTGTTAGACAATAAAGAAAATCATCATTGTTCTTGTCAGCCACAAGAGGCTAAGATAAAATAATGTGGCTTAAACTAAACATTTTATTAAGAAACTATGATATTTGGCCACCAAGAGTTTAACTTCCTCCTTATTGAGAAGTGACCGATCTTTACTTATCCGAAAACATCTTGAAATTCCAGAGTCCTGAGCTGGGGTGAAGACAGTGCCTTGTGGCCTACCCATAGTTATGGTACGGGGGCTGGCAAGTATGGTCGTACAAAGGCTTGTGTACTGGCCTGGGCGGCGACCTGCAGGCTGCAACCATAATAACAGCACAATTAGAACACCGTCTTCCTTATAGGACAGTGGTTCTTGAACTTCTTTCGACGCGACCCAAAACTAGATCGGTTAGCATGCTTGCCACCCACAGTATAAAAGAAATACAATAATATTTTTTTCTTTATTTATAAGTATATACAAGGAATATAATGCAATAGTAATACAATATACTGTACTCAAACTAATAATATTATTATATAATTTCATAAAATGTAAACTAATGAGAGGGCTGACGGTCTTGTTCTTAGCAGGTCTTCAAAGCGAGATGTTGTGGCAGACAAGCTGTAGTGTAGATCATACTCAGACTGCAGCCTGTTTCGATGCTTCGTCCTTTTCAGTGATAATGTTGCAAATCCTGCCTCACAATGGTATGTTACGTGGTCGTTAATGGACCCCCTTATGAAAGATTTCTTCTCCAGGTTCAATTAAATTCAAACTCGGAATTTAGGAGGTTTCAGATATCCCTTTCCTGTGGTATAATCTCTATTCTTGGAAGTGTATGTCTTCTTCCTTTTGTCATTCCCAAAATCTGTGTTTTACAAAAAAAGTTTATGCTAGCTTTTTCACCTGACTCGTCCAATTATACAGAACGCAACAAGGCACAATAATTACCCCACATCACCCTAAAACAGTCCTCGTAAATCATCCCTACACCTACCCACACCCCCCCCCCCGGACCCAGAGTTCACTTACTTGCCACAATAAGTAAATATGACTATCAACCACAGCAACTTGAACCTCGAGACAATAAGGAGTCGACAAGTGTCCTGGCGGGCGCATCACTATAGATCTTTGTCATCAACTGTGTTGTTGCTGGTCACTGCTACTGCTCTTGACTTTCTCGTTTATTACACTGATGTAGTACTTTTATACTCTACGTTATAGTTTGAGAAATACCAAACCTCGTGTAAATTCAGAATATTAATTATTAACACATAATTCTCGTTTGAATACTGAAGGAAATAAGAGGTTTAATTTAAAAATTCATTTGGGCTTTTCGTCACTACACTGGCTACTACTAGTACTATAAATGTGAAGTTCCTTTGCTAGATACTAATAAAGTGACTAAATTCACCTTAGATATTATCAATACAAAAGCAGTTCACCTCACTGGAAAAGCTTTGGTCACACAAATAATAATAATAATAATAATAATAATAATAATAATAATAATAATACTAATAATAACAATAATAATAATAATAATAATTTAGTAAAATTGTCGTACAGGTTTACAGTTGGGTAAGCATTTATATAAACTATGCAGGTACTGTAAACAGGCCAACATGAATATAGACAAAGTAGGTGGTATACGGTGCATGCGCGTAGGCCGTGAGAGTAAACAGTTATCGTAAGTGCCGATACAGTGCAAGTATACAACAATGTTCAAACAGTCAGGCAATTTGACCAAGGATAGCTGACAAAACTCTCAGGTGTTTATTTCCAGGAGGATCCTTTAAAACAGAAAGAAAGAAAAAGTACACAAGGAACTTTAAGCTAAAACTTCACGCAACACAAACTCTTGTAACATAGGAAAGAGAAGTTATCCAACTAATGATGGACAATACAGTACAGTACTCACAATAGGTTTCTTTAGAGACATAATGCGAGTATTTACGGTCACGGTGACCTGCTGATGATTCTTCTTCACTGTGATGCAGACTGACGAATTGCATATAAAGGGTGCTTTTATGTACTGTTGGAGTATATATACGGGTCGATAATACTATGATCATTTGTCCAAACTCTTTCGTTATCTTCACTTTTAAGGCCGATCATTCTTGTTGATATATAGGCCTGTTATCAGCCAGTGTTTTCACACAGCTTTTCTTAGACGCGCTACATTAGGAAATCTATTGGTGAAAGCCGAAGAGGGAACTCCCCAGAGGGAGCGTTCTCTCCTGTCCCTACCTGGGTACGCTGCCACTGTAGACTGCTGATTAAGGCGGGCACTTTTTTCCTGTAGTAGCCGGAAATACCCGGGAGTGTCCTCATAGCCAATACAGTATTGCAGACAAAAAATCACGTGCACATATAAATGATCATATGCACAAACCCACAAGCTAAAACACTTACAATTTTATACCTACAAACGCACATGCACGCATTTTTACATACATACATACATACATACATACATACATGTGTGTCTGTCTGTAAAGCACAGCTTCTGTTTGTTTTTGTGGATGCTCACTATCTACGGTCACGCTTCCGAAAGTAGATACAACTGAAATTTGATAGGGGGATGCGCATGTACCCTTGAAGGTGATATTTTGGGAAGTTGGCCCTAAAGGTGGACCTTCCTTATTATAATAACACATCCATTTTATTTTTATTTTTTGCTATGCACCACCACGGTTTTCATGATAGAACTGGATTTTGGCATGTTTTTTGTAAATAGCGCAGAGAATGCTCACGAATGTCTAAATATGGGGATCAGCCCCTCCCATCTAAACGTGGACCCACTGTGCACGACAACAATTGTTAATATCAAGAGCTGGAGTCAAGAACAGTAGAAGTGACCAGCACATTAAAGGTAAATAATGGACCCGGCGAGAGTTATGGAGTTTGAGGAGGAAAGTCTCAGTGTTATGTCAGTGTGATGAAGAAGAAATGGAGGTTGTGAACGAACTCAAGTGTGTAGAAACTTTGTTAAAGAAAGAAGGAAATGGGGTTGCTGATCTTGCCATACCGAGGTGCAAAGAAGAACTGCACGGGGTCGTGAGTAGCAGTCATGATATTTCCCGCCAGAGCAGTCACTCCTGCCCACAAATTGTCTTTCTTGCCACTAAAACCTCACCGTCAGCCACGCACTACTAGTTATGTTACTGCTGATCTTCATAAATAATGTTGTTATTTCCAGCAAACCGTCACTGTCGAACGCGTGTGGTTGACAGTGAAATTTAATTTTCTCCTACTAACCAATGGTCCTAAAGAGTAAAGACAAATCCAGGAAAAAAGTCACAGGAAAAAGGTCACAGGAAAAAGAGTCACAGAAAAAAAGTCACAGGAAAATAGTCACAGGAAAAAAAAGTCAAGAAAACATGTCAGAAAAAAGGCACGGAAAAAACCTAGCCTAACCCAACCCAACCTAACTTAACTTAACCTACGTGCACCATATATAAATTGTGTAGTCAATATGTAAAAGTCATGTATTGTCAGTTAATAACAGTTTTAAAATATTTTTAGTTTTAATACCTTAACTTAAATAAAATGTGACTATTTTTCCTGTGACCTTTTTCCCTAGACAAATTTGACTTTTTTCTGTGACTTTTTTCTGTGACTTTTTTCCCGTCCACCCTAAAGACAACTCAACCTCTGTACGAAAGTGATCCATGATTCAGACCTCTCCTTATACTTGTGTATGTGTGTAATAATGATAATAACACCAATAATAATAATAATAATAATAATAATAATAATAATAATAATAATAATAATAATAATAATAATAATAATAATAATAATAATAATAATAATAATAATAATAATAATAATAATAAACAAAATAATAATAATAATAATAATAATAATAATAATAATAATAATAAATATAACAGGATAACGGGTGTCTACGAGAAAAATTTACACATGTGATCTTGGATATATACTTATGTGTTTGTAAGCCTGCAGATGCGAGTATGTGTATCTTCACCTGAAGGTGATGTGTATAGGGAGTACAAAATTTTCCTACACGGTAAGGGCCACTCCTGGGTAATTCCCGGTACTCTCTTTAGAAAATAGTACCTGAGGGTGGGCTGGGGACTCACCTTGGGAATCCCCGATTGTTGTTCTTATTGTAAAGTACATAATTTTTAATGCTCTTGTAAGAAGCACTATATGTATACAAATTGGCTAATAACACATGTTTATTATAAGAGGGTTAGGACTAAATATGAAGATAACAAAACAGTTATAGCAACATCATGCACGGAGAGCCAGGCAAAATATGCAATGACAACTGAGGGTTAAGAAAGGGTAGGTCCTGCCCGCACATATAAGGAGACCGTCTCAGCACCTGGAGTCAGTCTTCACAGTGAGGAAGAACAGTTAGCAGCTCATCGTAACTTCCCGCATCATGTCTACTCTACGATCTGTTGTGAGTACACTGCACTGGATCACTTGTTTCTGTCAGTGTAATCATTTTACCAGGTACAAAACGTGGTAACAGTGATCACTAAAGACAACCAAGATATTTGTTCAATGTCTAACAAACTTCAAAGCTCTTAATTTTATGAACTAAAATTCCGAAAGTAGCTACTTAAACAAACACTACTTAACATTTAAGCGATTTAGAATAATAATTATGAACTCAAGAACAGTAGCAGTGACCAGCAGCAACACAGCTGAAGACAAAGATCTAGTGATGCACCTTCTCACTATAATGACCTTCCTCTCCCAGCTGGTGGTGGTGGCACTCCTAGCTCTAGTGTACGTGGCAGTGGCACTACCCAGCCGTGGATACAGCGGATACGGACATGGTGGCGGATACGGACATGGTGGCAGTTACGGACATGGTGGCAGTTACGGACATGGAGGCAGTTACGGACATGGAGGCAGTTACGGACATGGATCTTACGGTCAGGGGTAAGTTCTAAATCCAGTTAAGGTTGTGCAGTAAATTTGTTGAAATTCATGTTTACTAAATTATAAATCATAAACAAGAAATTAGTGAGAGAAGATGTGCCAACTATATTCTTTCTATGGTTGCAGGTCGCACTACAGGCCCAGACCACATTACCAACTTTCTTACCATGGGTAAAACACCGACATCGTCTTCACCCGGAGCGGAACTAGGAAGCTTCGCTAATAAGAAAGAACATGGAGTATCAGCCTTAAGAACAGCTGGTATAGTTAATTTTCTCTGGCTCCAGGAGCATGTTATCAGGCGCTGGATATTATGTTATTTTGTTTTAATAAATATTATTAATTGTTTCTCAGTCTTTACTATTCACTCCTCCAACAAAGGAAGTTTGTTATTGTGAATCCGGCGTATCCATATATCTTTTCCTATAAATGTGGACTGGAAAGATTGAGGTAGACGCCAAAGAACGATTACTGTGTGATAATTATTTAATCTTGCACTGTTTGGAGGTGTCATAAATGAAATTGCCAATCCCGAAATGAAAATCGAGAATAGGCTATCATCTCTTTTCAAGTGTGCGTGTAATAATAATATTTAACGGTTCATTGAAAGTACAGTTGCTAGGGGGCTGAAAATATACAAATAACAAAACTGACGTACAGTATTAGGAATTGTGACCTTGGGGTAGTGGATTAAATGATCCAACAAAGGTTTTTAATACAAAAAAGAGATATGGAGTGAACATACAGGTTATCTATGAATCCCTGATAATTTGGTGTTGTACAGGATCTCATGTGGTTGAGGTACTTCCTTCTCTGGTGGTGTTATGGAGAAAATAAAAACCTTATGGCATTTTCCTATCTGGTGGTGTGGAAGGTTCAGTGTGTTAGTACCTCCCTACCGGTGAGCCGTAAACACTGACACAATCGTAACAAAGCATCAAATGAAAAAATAGACTCGGACAAAAGAAAATAATATACTGTATAATTGCATTGTAACTAAGGGCCGCTATACTGTACACGTGTGGGTCCTGCCGAGTTATACGTACCAAGATTTTTTTAAAACAGGGAACCGATGTTTCGAACGGCATTTGCCCCTATAGACCGATTTTACTGTCATAATATACGTTTAATTACGGTATCTCTATGTTCTTTAATTCCTTCCCTATCGCCAAATATTTCATTATTTTATATTCATTTTCGAGTGTTATGGAAAAAAGCTGAAAAAAACCCGCAAATTGTTCCAAGATTTTCATCCACAACTCATTGTCGGGATAATGTTTAAGAAAAAACAAATCTTTTAATTCAATGACAATACCTAAGCGACCATGACACCCCAGAGTATAAAATATGTGACTCCTGTTAGTCATCATATCCCAGTAAAACAAAACGTCACCTCAGGACTCGAAAATACGAGCACCTGAAGGCGATATGGGCTTTTATTATTAAACTACACCATTCAGCTGTCAATGAACTTAAGAGCCTTAATAGACAACCCTAGCCACCTCCTTATCATGGGGGACTTTAACTATGGCGACATCGACTGGAGAAACGAGTTCACCCCAAATGACTTGAATAACCCTGATACTCTTTTTGTAGAAAATCCGAGAGATAATTTTCTGTTCCAACATGTTAGAGACCCGATACATTACAGAGGGGAGCAAACACCCAAGCCACTTGACCTCATCATAAAAACGAGGAGGGTATGGTGGCCAAACTGGAACACCTTGCCCCAGTTGGCACCAGTCACCATATAGTGCTGTCATTCAGATTTAACTGTTACCTAGTTCAGGATAAGGCCAGGCCAAGGTGCAAATATTACAAGGGAAATTACAACGGGATGAGGGAAGAGATGGGAGGTATCAACTGGCCTGATTCATTAAGGCACAAGAACGCAGACACTACGCTGAATATCATAACTAGTAAAGTTACCCATTTGATCGATAAATATATACCCAAGACCAAACCCAGTGCCTCTAGGAATACGAGGGGATCCCTACACATGAACCACGCGGCGGTCGACAGAGTTAAGAAGAAAACCCAGAAGTTCAAGACGTGGGTTGGGTCAAATGATGAGCAAGACAGGAGGATGTATGCAAGAGCCAGAAACCAAGCAAAGATAGAGTGTAGAAGGGCTGAAAAGGAGTTTCAGAGGCTGGTTGCACGTGAGGTCAAGTCAAACCCAAAGGCGTTTTACCGCTATGCAAAGTCGAAATTAAAAACGCGAGTAGGAGTATCAGACCTGAGGCTTGAAGATGGTAGTTATGCAGATTCTGACCAGGATAAAGCCGAGGCATTGAACAGCTTCTTTTCCTCGGTGTTCACAAGAGAGGATGCAATTAACCTTCCTGCGTTTGAGGACAGACGCTTCGACACAGCACTGACCCACATTGTGTTCACAGAAGAGGGTATTGGAAATAAACTGTCAAAGGTAAAGGTCCATAAGAGTCCCGGCCCTGACATGGTGCATCCCAGAGTGCTAAGAGAGTTGTGCAACGAGCTTGCCGAGCCCCTGAAAATTCTGTTCTGTAAATGCCTGGATGAACAAAAGGTCCCCAGTGAATGGAAAGTGGCTTATGTGAGTCCTATCTTCAAGAAGGGCGATCGTCACTCCACGAACAACTATAGACCGGTGAGCCTGACCAGCATAATATGTAAATTACTTGAGAGTATTATCAGAGATGCCGCAATGGAACATCTACTACGAAACAACCTTGTAAAGGATTGCCAACACGGTTTTATGCCGGGGCGCTCCTGCTCAAGGTATAGGATATTTGGACCCATATTCTGGAACGGGGTGGTAATATCGACAATATTTACCTAGATTTTGCCAAGGCTTTCGACAGTGTACCCCACGAAAGGCTGAAAATCAAACTGGAAGGGTACGGAATTCGGGGAAATGACCTAGCGTGGATAGAAGACTTTCTACGTGACCGCAAGCAATGTGTGGTGATTAATGACACGAAATCATCATCCGTACCTGTCACAAGTGGGGTACCACAGGGCAGTGTATTGGGCCCGCTGTTGCTTGTTTGTTTCATAAATGACATGCCTGACGTTGTACACTCCTCCATACAAATGTTTGCGATGAAGCCAAGTTATTTCGGGAAATCAAGAACCAAGCAGACTGTGAAGAGCTGCAGAAGGACCTCTGTGGGCTCCAAGAATGGTCGAAGAAATGGCTGCTGAGATTCAATGTCACGAAGTGTAAGAGGATGCACCTGGTAAGGAGGCGTATCATATGTCCCAACGGGATGAAGAAATTGCACTATTTGAGACTGAATGTGAGAAGGACCTAGGTGTGTATGTTGACAATGAGCTGAAGTTCTCGGGCCATTGCGAGAAGGTAAATCAGGCAAATAAATTATATATTGGGTCTTATAAGAAGGTCGTTCAGATATGTAGACGGTTCGTCCCTCGTAACGATCTTCAAGAGTGAAGTGCTTTCCCATCTGGAGTACTGTCACCCCGTCTGGTCCCCGAGATATGCTAGGGACTGTCAGTTGGTTGAAAATGTTCAAAGGAGGGCCACCAGACTGGTGCCTGCACTTCGGCACCTCAGCTACCCTTAGAGATTGGAGCGCCTGAACTTGCCTAGCTTATACTACAGACGGGCAAGGGGTAACCTAATTGAGGTGTATAAACATCTCAAGGGGCACTACTCAGTCGAGTGTCCTTACTTGGAGCTGGCAGACGCTCGCCCCACAAGGGGTCACAGCTCAAGATTGAAGAAGCCTCAAGTCCAAAAAACTGTGAGGGCAAACTTTTTCGGAGTGAGGGTTGTAAACTCTTGGAACAATCTACCAGAGAGTGTTGTGACGGCACCGAGTGTGAGCTCTTTCAAGACAAGACTTGATCAACACTGGAGCGGGTTCAGGTACTTTCAGGAGCCGGTACATGCCCAGTACTTGCCAACAGTGCGTGACAGAGACGTGACTGATCGCCCGGGCGGCTAACGAGCCGATCAGTGGTGAAGAGGATAAAAGTAAGTAAATAAACAACTAATATAGAGCTAACTTTTCTCTTGTTCCAGGAGCATGGTTATGCCTCAAGTTACCGGGTACTATGTATAATATCTTAATAATATGTATAAAATATTTCTCAGGTTGTATAGCTGACATTTTTTGGGTACAGGTACTTTATGTAATTATGAAACTGGTACATCCATACACCTCTTTTACTTAAATGTGGACAATAATGGCGGTAGAGGCAATGGGGGCAAATCCCTGTGTGATACTATTGAACCACTTCCCCAAGACCAAAATCGACAATAACCTTGATGACATACCGTTGCCGATTTTTCATAAAAAAATAATTTAAAAATGCCACAATGTCGCTGTGGAGTCGTAGTTTCGGCAAATATGTTAAAATTTAATTATTTCTAAATTAAAACCTAATCTCGGTTAATAAGAAACACAAGCGGCCTAAGTGTTGTTAGAAGACTGCACCAACATAACCAAAGAAACCTACTTAACCTTACCTAACTTCCTAGCAGTCACCCCCCCCCCCAGCATATTAAACAGAAAGAACTTATTTCTCTTTTATAGTGAAATTTTAGGTTTTTTGTGGACGTGAGAGAAGCCACTTGGACTGAGTGGCTCATACAGTAAACATACAGTGCGCAGAGGACAAAATAGAGCTGGATCGAGCCGCATGACCGTTTTATGATCGTAAAAAAATGAAGTAGTGTTGCTAGCGGCCTAATTACCTACATAACAAAGCATTTGCCCCAAAAATGAATATCACACCCGAACTCGGCGATGAAAATATAGTAATATAAGATCCACCAAAACAAATTACGCTGTGACGAGTATGTCAGTAATATTAACCAACTGGTCAAATACTTTCACTGACATACAAAAAACAAAGATGTTTTGAGTATATTTAGTTGACACTTACAGGCTTGGAACAGTTGTAGTCCATGTGAAGGCTCTTTAGCATCTTGTGTCTATGTTTTTTACCCCCACAGCACCTTTAGCAGGCTCAGGGTTAGCTTCGTTCCCATTCACCTCTACATGGAAGATCACCATCAGATCTACAGAGTTTTCTTGCATATCGATGGTGGATTTTTTGCACAATCGGAGCACTAGAGACCCACATGGCAAGACGATCGCAAACTAAGGCATGCCTCACGCCCGGCCAGGCGAGGTGGGTCTGAAGCCAGCAATATTTATCTGCTAAATACGGCTAAGTCCAAAAACCAAACAAGTGTCCAACAAGCTCTACCTTGTCTAGAAGTCATTACACCTCACTACCTCGGCCACCGAATTGTTTGGTGTGCACTTAATCTAAAAACAAAAAGAAAAGAAAAAATTGCTGAGAACTATAGTATTTCCACGTTAATCTGGCCCGTAAGCGACGCCTCGTTTCTATACTAATAGCAGATTGGTTCATAGAAAATTCAAACTAAATGTGATCACAATTGGTAAGCAGACCTGATATTATCTAAAATAATGTTTAAAATTATCTGAACTATCAAAATGCAAATGGTTTCTAGGCATTAGCACTTCAGAGAGGATGTTAGAAAATTTTAAATATTTATCATAAAAGGTAGATATAAATACGTTTATGGGCCAGGTTAGAGTGGAGGGTGTAGTGTATAATCAGCACATTGCTCACGGCACCACGTTGTTGTTGAGACTCATGCTTTTTTCTGTCAATTATTTTGTCATGATGGACTAACAAGGTGGAATGTGCATACAGAGCACACCAAGATACACACGTACATTATAATGGCCAATATAACAAAGACAAAAAATATTGCTACTGTCAACGCTAAGTCACCATATTTTGTACCTGTATAATTTTTTTTTTTTATTGGGCACCCCCCTACATTCTTGTGTAGGGAGAAGCGCAGAAGCGTTTACAGCGTCCAACAGGGAAGCATGCTAAGTTCATGCTTGCCTTTTTATGTCTCACGAGTTAAGGGCGTAGAAGCCTGAAGAGTCAGTGGTTTATGTCATCAAGTTATTGGAAGCTCCAACAACTCCCTGAATACGAATTCGCAACTTTCAACGGGTACCTACTTTACTGCTAGGTGAACAGGGACTAATGGGGGCTAGGAAGTAAGTCCAAACAACTTCCACCAGCCCGGGAATCGAACCCGTGACATCTCGCTTGTACCTGTATAATGTGGATAAATTCTCATATGAAAAGGTAAGGTAAGAGTTTATAGCAGTAGGGTTGTAGAGTGAGGAAAGTAGGTAGTGTGACTCGAGGGTGTAAAGCTAATATTATATATTAACACAGGCTCAGTATAAGTGTAGTATATAAAACAAATGTGCATTACAGCTTTATTTTACTAGTTCAACAGGGGGGTAATAGGGGGTCCGTACACAATAAATAGTAGATTATGGTATACTCCTATTACTTAACAAATAAAATGGGCACTTCCACTATGTCGATCGTTGGGGAGGTTCAGGATTATCGCACTACCACCGTCTACACAGATAGCACTTACTATGACACAATGAGTAGATACCGAGGAATTGTTCAAATATGAGATAAATATTTTTCTATACGTTCATGATAAGCTCACCGTACAAATAGTGTTACATTTATTTTTATTTGGTTATTGTTAATTTTTTTATTGTTAAGAACGTTTATTTTGAATAATTTATTAGCTCAAGAGGGAGGAGAGAGCGATCGCCTCATCCTCCTCTTCGGTACGCCCATGTCCGTGGCTTTAATATAGTAACATAATCCCTTAGAATAGAACCGTACACAGCTCCCTTGATGTTACTAACCTGCTTCTTGGTGTGCATCTTAATCAAAATTTAGTTATATATTCTGTTTTAACTGTTTCAAGAGAAGTAGTGCCATTCACACCACTTGAGTCTGTTATCTCTGGTCTGAACGCAGGGTTTTCTTTTCCTGAGAGTTGAAGTAGATCCTCAGGCGCTTTGGAGGCAGGACTCTCACGATCTGACAAGGTAGAGGAAACAGATATAAAGTATTACTCTATTTAGCTATTACAACGGGCTGAAATTTAGCATGGCAATGATATTTAGGCATAAAGATACTCTATTTCACACATAAACACGCAAGTAACAAAAATACTATCGTGAAAATTTCGAACCCCTCAAACTAGAAGAATATAATGTATTTATTGTACTTGTGAATAAAATAACTTATTTACGGATCATTATTGCTAACTAACATACCACCTCTTGTATTCCATAGATAGATAGATAGATAGATAGATAGATAGATAGATAGACAATCATTAAAATCATCACACAAGTTCACATTGATACAACATGTACTATACATAGGCAGTATCCAGGAATGTAATGTTGACTACCGAAGATTGTTATATGTAATAAAAAACCTCACAAGCAATATGTCAGATCATCATCACTTTGGTTTTATTCATGCATGGCCTTAGGGACTATATTGATGACATATTACATGTGAGAGATAACCTCTTGTCTGGTCAATTAATAATTGGTATTACCGCATCCACCAGGGTACACTACTTACCCGGTCGCTGCAACAGGAGTCGTTCAAGGCCAATGATGGGAGACTCGACGGTGAGGGAGACCAACACTGATATGATGCCTGCGATGACCAGCGCCCCCACGACCTCTACGATCTAAGGATATTTCTTATATGTATGTACAGGTATTATAATAAAAGAGACAACAACAGCATTACTGTGGTCTACAAATATACATTACTTTTGTTTTCTTGGACCATTCTCTCTCATATATTATATACAGTATATCAGACATAAAACACACTAACATCAATATTATTATTGTTTTATACCTACATACTAGGTAAACAACTCTCTGAATTACTCAAACCACACACCCAGCCACCCAATACTAGCAAAGTCATAGTATATTTTCCAATACTGTACAATAACAGACTGGCCAAATTTTTGTGTGAATTTTATTCGTAAATTTTAATGAAAATGGTCTCCAGATCAGAACACTCGGCAAAAGTGGTTTAGATAAAAAAATTGAATCCCCGATGAACGGCAATTTAATATGTTGTTGTTTATCATACGTTGATGCGGTTATTCACCCTACGTTACGCTTCCCTTGAGGAGTCAATTGCATCAGTTTTATAAAATTAATCATACCTTGCAGTTTTCTTAGATTATTCACTAGATTCTATGTGTGTGTGTGTGTGTGCCACTGTTGTACCCGGCACTGCTTTAAGTCTACTGAACAGTAATACAGTACTAACACTACTACTACTAATACAATACTAATAATCATGACACTAGCAACAACAATTATAGATATATTACCTTGTTTAAATGGGTGTAATAAAAGAGAACCCTCGTATTGTAGGTAAGCATAAACTGCATTGGAAAAATCACAAGGTATATAGTATAGGTTAGACGACTCAGAGGCTGCCACACGGGGTGAGAGAGAAAGTCGTTCACCAGACCTGAAATGTAAACACAACCATTTTATATAACTCAATAACACAATGGCAGATTCATGGATCTAAATTTAAAGTAATTTTGTTTCCGATTTATTTTTTATTTTTTTACATATATTACAAAATTTTATATCAAGGAGGACTATCAGTAGCTAGGTGAGGTCTCACCTCCAGCACCATTATGGCAAGCGTAGACTACCCAGGCCACCGCAGAGCCCCAGGCGAACCTCTGAAACCCACCGTACACAACCTGGGTCATGACGTCATAGTAGCGTGGTGGAGGTACTTGGTTGTAACTCCACATTCCAAACACAACTAGAAAGCCCGTAAGAGAAGCCACCGTCCACCCCACCGCCACCTGCCACTGCACAACACAACACCATTTATCGTCAAAATATAGTTGTCATATTTTTTGTTCCTAGGAATGCAGGAACAGCAGATGTGAGTAATAATACATTACATACGGTAAAAGTCAGGTGCTCTATCATTGTTTTCTACCGTGAAGGAATGATCGATTGTAATCCAGGTTGCCAAGTTAGTTTTGGAAGGAACGATGTACAGTATTCAAGTATACAGTGATAGGTAGTACGCAGTAGGCAGCTACCAAACAGGGAGGTACTGCCGCCTGGGAAGATATTGGAAGCATAATGTATTGTCTAATGGTAGAACCTGCTGCCATATGGCATCACGAAAATTGTGACCAAGTCCCAGGTTGCGGATCTGACCTTCTGCCTCATTTACACACAATTGCAGGGTCTCAATTGTTTCTCTTACTATTGATAACACAACATACATATATTGTTTCTCACTTTTGATATTTTTTTAAATTTTTTATTTCTTTAAGATTCTTTATTATTTTTACATTTTCTCCCCCCAGGCCCCGATGTGGGTCAGTGACCTGTGCCCGGGTGGGCTAATCCCCGAAAAAAAAAAGTTCTTACGCTAAGTGTTTGCACGGTTTTCTGCATGTGATTTCTATTGGCCTACAGTTGATTGCATGAATATATAATTTTTTAATTATGTTCATTATAACATTTAACGTGAGTAATTTTACTTAGAAATGGAGTAAATGAAGTTATTTATCAATAAAAAATTTCACCTATACAATGTCAATTATTTGTACTTCTTCCTAATTGTCATAACCTCTTAATAAAATTTCCTCCTTACATTTTTTCCTCAAGTGTCATACTGCTACGATATAGCTGCCTGATATTAATACTTAAGCAACAGTTTCCATACCTGTTTCAAGACGACCTTCTTGTTTCCTTGAGTGTACATGATGTAACCCAGCCAGATGCCGACCAGCCAGGGCCCCGCACGACACCAGGGCACGAGGTACACTTGATTCATGAACTCTTCACCCTTGCTGAATTTAAGATCAAATAATTGATATCTGCCAGAATTATATTTGGTTCACATGCCTCTTACATATTAATAAGTCTCCATACAAGCTGGGGGACAATATATGTTCCTTATCTTCTTGCATATAAAGCGCATGGACATTTTACTACATGTCTTGAAGTTACAACACTATCAAACATTAATGATCTGTTGATAAAAAGAAAGTACCTAGTTAATGACATCCACTTGTGCAGCAACCACTAATCGTATAGACCGAGTCGTCTTGAAAGTAGATTCTAAGAGAAAAAATAACCGAATAATATTGTTCCTCCAGGAATTGCGGTGCCTGTGAAATTGAATGAATTTTCAGTGATTAGAATAACTTACATTGACCGAAATTATCACTTGTATGTATACTGTAGACGGACTTCACTATGACTCACATCTATAAATATAAAAGTGATCGACTGTCTCAAAGCATCAGTACAGTTATCTATCCCTTTACCAAAACTTCAGTTCCCGTTAAATAAGGAAGCTGGTAATTGTCCGATGCTTCAACCTGACCTGAACAATATGGCGGTCACACTGGCAAAGATGAGCGAGTGAATCCTATATGACAGCCCATGAGGGGTTAGTGGTCGTAAGAAGAGGACGATGAATCAACATGGCACAGCTTGAGGAACTCTTTAGGTTCGACGTTTCTTGCTTGAACAATATAATTCAATTTTTTTTCTCTCAAAATCTCCCAACAGGATTTGACTCACCAAGACTGGGCTTCTCTGTGCACCACCTACCAGTATACAAAGATGTGGATTTCCTGGCCTGAAACTGGTATTGTATAGCTCGTACACTGCCCCAAGCATTGTTCACTTACATTATATACAATGACAGACTTGATTTTTTTAAAGGGCATTTCGACAAATAAATTGCCACAGAACCAATTACAGGTTATCAAAAATTCCTTTAAACAATTGAAAACAGTAAAGAATAATGGTGAATACTGATGATAGACAAGTAACTGGAGAACAAAGAGATACAAGTTAACTTACGGAGCCATCACTAAGTTAGTAGGTGGAAAATCGTTGGCATATATAATCATAGCAGGAATGAGGATAGATGATAGAGACAGCAGGTACAGCCACACCTTACCTGCAAGGTTTATAAAGATGAAACGTGTGTGTGGGGGGGGTTGCAATTGTCCCAATAACTTGATAATGACCTATTCAGTAACTTTTGGTTTGACACGCAGCACATTTTAAGGAGGATACAGCTGTTTCCTCAGTTTGAGGAAATAGTGTGATGATTCATTTACCTGCACCTCTGAAGTAAAATAGGGGGAGGATGATGAGAGGAGCCACCAGGTAGAGTTGTGTGTCTACTGCCAAATACCAACTTTGTCCCAGACACTGAGAAAAAACAAGTAGCTTCAATAACAAATTCAATACATACATATCCGTCGCATATAGGAGCAGAATGTGAGGAAATTAAAATAAATGTCTGCAGAATACAGGAACTTAAATTATTATTTTTTGGATAATGACACTGCACAAGGTAAATTTCCCTATATAAATTATTTTACAGTATATATGAATATCATTAATAAAGTCTTTTGAAAAATTATTTTAGTTACATGAGCTCTGTTGATTAAGAGACTAGTGCACCATAATGTTAACGACCCCGAGTTGGTATTGACAAAAAGACAGCAACAAAAGAAGTGTTATATAGGTCACATGGTAAAGATGATTGGGAATGAACAATAAAAATGAGGTTGGTAAATTAAGAACTAATGGTTCGTTATGTACAAACATGGTATAATGGAGGAAAAATTAAGAGACGAAATAGTAAATGAAGTATGTGAATGAATCCCTAGACAGGATCGTGATGGGGAAAAAATAACTATGAATAAAACAGAAGAACCCAAGAGGCAGTTTAGTGTTTCACTTGACCTACAGGACCTAGTATGACACACAAAACAAAAGCCCATTATCCAAGCTGCTGAAATTGTTTAGGCTTTATGTGGTGGATTTGTACAAAGGAGGAAACTGGTATTATATTAGTGAAGTGTACTGGAACCTTTGGGTGACCGAGAGAGCCAAGGACAGGAGACGGGAGGCCATGAAGTGGGTTTATATACCTTGAAATAGTTTATCATATAGAGATGATGATGGATGGTAACACAGCATAGAAAGTACAAGAGACTAAATTGGGAGGAAGATAGATTAACTGAAGGGAAATGAGGAGTAAGCAGGGCCGGATTCAGGAGTGGGCAAAGTGGGCAGCTGCCCAGGGGCCTCCACATATTACATCTGACCTTGGACTTAAAGAAGCCTATACATGCATTCTTGAACAAAACCATTATTTGAGTAGAGGTTTATCTGATTAATAATGCAAGGAATCATCTCTCTGTAATTACTAATATATTCTTTTCTGTGAAGTCCCTTGAAAATTTTTGACATGTGCGGTAGTAGCTATATCAGGGCTGGTCGATTTGAAACCACGTGAATGACTCCAGTCATGTCTCACTTTTGTGTTTGTGTGTTTGTGTGTGTGTGTGTGTTGGGAATTTGTACACTATCAATAAATATACAGTTAATTAAAAATTTCTCAATGTTCTAATTTCCTCAATATAACTGCATATGGCTTCAAAATTCCCCAAAGAAGTGTTCGAATTTCAAAATTTTCCCGGGGAGCTTACAGTGCCCCCCGGAACTCCCAGATGTTTAGGCTCGCTTCACTCGCCACCCCACCCTCTTGGGTAGTTATAATAAGGGGGGCCTCCACAAAGAGGCTGCCCATGGGCCTCCACAGGTCTAAATCCGGCACTGGAAGTAAGTAGCCGAAAGACTATATGTGGGAAAGAAAATGGATCTTAGCCTAGCAACACGTCTCGATAAATTGCCAGAAATATACAGAATATTAAAGAGATCTCTAAGACGCTATAAAATATCTCCTTTTTTTTCAGTAACTTACGTCTCCGGCTGCTTCGTTTGTACCGTCGTTAACAAAATTATTCACGAATAAAATATCCCGCCACCAGAATTGTTGACAGCCTTTCCGCCAGTACTGATAATTGTAAGCTAGTGGTCCAGATACAAATAAATGAACCACAGTAGCATACAATCCACAAATGAGCCCTATTGATGGGATTAATCTGAGGAAATAGAGATCATAATATTAAATCTTAATATTATTGGTAATGTGTATGGTAAGATTTCAACAGAGTGAAAAAAAAAACAATCTTCTTGACGAGGAACAAAAAAATTGAAAAAGGATTTTTTTTGTATTTCACTTTGTGGAAAACGTTTCAGAAGAAACTGGTCTATTGTCTCACTGCATTCGTAGACATGATCCATTGAACAAAAAGTGAGTTACTAATAAACAACTTCTACATACAAAGTCATATGTGACTTAAGTGTGCCAAGGCCACACATGTTGCAGCTGGAACTTGACTTGAGATAAGAGTACAGTATACAGATGTTGCCGTTACTTGTCCTCAGTCAGATGATAAATTTGACCCAACGGATTTTTTTTAGGTGAGGTATAAAGAAGGATGTTAAAAGTGAATGGAAGCAGAAGTGCAACAATTTATTATTTGAAGCCGAGGACAACTTCAGTTCAGTGTTAACTTACTATAGAGGCAGGCACACTTCATGCGTTATGTTCACGTTTTAACTGGCGTGTCAGGGTATACAGTATTTTATTATTAATCATAATATACAAATGGATTTTGACCTAAAGTAGAGAGAGAATTCAGTGTTTAAAATCCAGTGTGACTAGATTACCAATAAATAAGATATGCTGCACTTGAAGAACCCTCTCTTGAACAAAACATCCATCAGTCATGTCAGGAGAGGCGGACTAACAGAAGCGAAGCAAATGAGAATAAAGTATTTTGCGATAAAAGAGTTGATGTTCTACAAGTCTTGAGCATTAAACAAAAACAGGAATAATATGTGGAAGTTGTCAGGGCTAAAACTTTTATCCAGACTCAGATTTGTGATAATTTGTGGTATTGTTCCTACTCGACAAAGTTCAGTCCTTGCCGCGCATTTATTGTATGTATTCAATGTAATTATTATAGAACTTACCAGAATTATTACAAGAATCAAGAGAAAAAGGATAAATAGACAGTAAGTTAATCTTAAATTATCCGTGCCTCCAAATGTACACAAGATTCATGAAAATTGGTAATAATTAAATAACTTAGAGTCATTCCCATCACATTACAACTTGATAGCAACAACAATAATAAAATAAGTAGACTAAACTCCCTGACGCTAACCTAACCTTACCTACCTTAATCTAATTAACCTAAACTAATTTCCTTTGGCAGCATTAGGTTAATCACCATGTGAAATAAGCTGGGGGTGCCCAATCATTAGGTGATCCAAAAAAGTGTAGATACTGGGGAACCTTACACAGTTAATTCAGTGTTCACAGAATCACAAACTTTTTCACTGTTCACGGCTGGCCCTGGGAGGAATTGTGTACGGGATCGTCTGGCGTTTGCCGAATGAAATATTAAAAGTAGTGAAGGGGTTAAAATGATACCTGGTATGGGAATATAGTTTTATGATGAATATGTATGGCAGTGTATTAAACGGTATGGCAAGAAGATAAACACTTAATTATAGGTGCAATTAAATTAGTTTTTTTTAAGACACCAACAGGGTATAGTAAAGCTTGTTAATGTCGTCTGCTATCCTGAATGTTGCTGTTTATGTTGAAAATATCATTAGTCTTACCTGATTAATCTATGTACGTAGAACAAAACAATGTTGAATCTTTTAGTGTTTTTGAGCTGCCTCAAGAGGCTGGAACACAGTAAGAGACCACCAATGAAGAAGAAGGTGTCTACACTGGGGTAGGCGTTGAACAGCACTTGGGAGAGGAAGCCGTTCAATTTCTGGGAGATGATAAAACATTTAGTGTTTGTTATAAGTTCCTTATTTTACTGCAGAACCCTAAAAAAATATTAATGGATGCAGTACTCTGATAACAGTTTTAAAGTAAAGAACGACGCTGTTACGGTAATTCATAGGTGATAAGTATACTGTACCTGTGTGTAGTTTCACAAAGGTAATATAAGGTGTGTGTATATGTCTTTGCGCACACATACTATGGAATAAAAACATTTTAAATACTGACCGGCCACAGTCCCATAAGATTAGCGGAATAGGGTATATTTGCTAGTTGCTGGTGACCATAGATCACCCAGGTCATGGAAAGCACCCTGTGGAGAGAAAGTTTTTATCAACTTTACTATGGACAACTTAATATGACTGGCTATTCATGTATACTAAAATATATAGTCACGAAGAAAAGTTGTGTAATACTCATCTTAAAAATGTACTGAACGTCAATGAGATAACAGCACTACATCATTTATATCTAAATAGACAATAATATTCAGAAGCTAGTTACTGCAGTTCGAAGTCTCAAGCGTTTACGGGGACTGTAGTTCGTGACTTTATTCCTCAAAGAAATAACAAAATGGTGATTAAAAGAACTGTTTGCCAAAAATACTTACTTGTACAATAATTTCATGGGCCAAAGATCATTATTGTAAAACACAAAATCATAATATGAGAACGTACTTGATGCCATGAAGAGAACTTATTGTGCCGGGAGCTGGTTTAGTGTTCACATGGAAGAGTTTGCTGGCGTTGGTGTACACCGAGAATGGCAGCAGATATCTTACTCCACCTGTTTGTTGAGTCATCAAAATGGGCTTTAATATACCATCTTGCTACCACATCATTAAAATACCCCTGTATGCGCTCAAGACCTTGATTTTTGGAGCGCAGCAACACATTATAACATCAGGAGAGACTTGTTAACGGAAACATTCTTACTACTGGATATAAATAACTCATGAACAGTATACAAACTGAAGACTGTCTCGGAATCAACACACAATGGGAAATTACAGATTAGAAACAAAACAAGATTAAGAATAAAAAAGTGAAGGAATTAGCCATCACAAAATTGCACACAAATTTTTTTTGGGTGATATGTGATATTTGGGAGTGACATACATAAACTTTCCTTGTTAATGTGGTCATGGAAAATAAATGTTTCCTGTGATGCACTACTGTATAACTGACTGTTGGAGAATATTATCACCTTTGCCTGTATTAAAAGGTGATGATCTCTATCAGGTATATAACTCACCTTTTGCCAGTGTTATATTGTTGGTTTTCTCAATGTACATGTCGATGGCACCCGCGAGCAGGATGAGAAAGAACAAGACCGAGACCAAGATGCTGTATTAAGAAAGGCTGTCAATAGGCGTTTCCAGAAATTACAGACAATATAGTTAGTTGATAATAATACTATGTGGTCGTTTAAAAGAGTATATATATATATATATAATGAAATTAATGTTACGAGCGGAGTCAGATTTCAACACATTATGCCAACTCGCCCATTTTCTATAGTTCTTTCCCACGCGTTGTCATCTCTCCTAGTGGGTATCTTTAGTTCTTATGTTATTAAAGCTCTTTAAGCGCGTAACAGGGTTAATCATATACTAGTCTAACAACAATTTAAAATTATGATAGAATTCTTGTGCGTATCGCTAGACGAAACAACGTTTCCACGTGCCTTAATTTCCATGGTTGTCACGTAAAGTAATTACATTTAATATTAAGAATATTCAGTGCATTATCTCATTTTTAATAACATGCTAAGGTATATATTTTTTAAAGGTGGTGATATTCCTAAATACATCATGTTTGTTTATATTAGGGACGCCTGGCCTGGGTTTAGTACTTGACTGGCGCGCTGGTTCTCTCTAATGGGCGTGTGACGGTGTTAAAAAAAATATAATCCTAAGAGAATATCATGCACGATAATGACGCTATAAGTATAAGTGTGACGCCGTATTAAAAGTAAATGTCACTTATTGATATTTTCTTGAACAAAACAATTTCAGAAGCCGCCTCAGTACGTCGTGTCGTCGAGTACAGTAATGACTCGTAGATTTACTTATATTTATTTTTTTTCGATTGACGTTGATTCAGCCAAGTAATTTCCACTTCTACAACTGACTTCAGTAAGTTAAGTAGTTAAGAGTTTCTTATTTGTTACCTTTTTAATATTCAATTCTCGGTATCAACGTTGGAACACGTCATAGTAGCCAGTAGACTTTAACTTTACTGTGAATTTTAAATCCCTTGTTTTTGTTTCTCCCAATTTCTTTGCAATAATTTTGATAAAAGGGCAGCTCTTAGACTTCTTGTGTTGAATACAAGTTGTTCATTACGAGACTAGCCAATATCCTCCAAGGTATGGCAGTTTACGTATTTTTATGTAGATTTCTTCCTGAAGAACTCTAACTTCCGCCGCCCTTGTGTTGGTGCCAGTGTTCGCAGACTTTCTCAGTATTGAATGTCATTTTTGTATGTAGCTAATGCCAACGTTTATATTTTTTTCTCAATTTGTTGATAGTATATTTATTTTTTTTATTACGCAAATAAAAAAAATACAACATAAAATTCCCATGTTAAGGCAGCATTAATAGGTGGCTATGGTAATATAAACTGACCTCTGCAAAATTATTTTTTTCGTAAGTTCGACAGATTAGGCAAATAGGATCATATGAAGATCTTCCCCCCCAAAGTATCCAACTGAAGATCCTCCCCCCCAGGCTAGATCATATGAAGATCCTCCCCCCCAGGCTAGATCATATGAAGATCCTCCCCCCAGGCTAGATCATATGAAGATCCTCCCCCCCAGGCTAGATCATATGAAGATCCTCCCCCCCAAGTAGGTTTGGGGGAGGTTAGGTTAGGTTAGGTTAGGTTAGGTTTGGTTAGGTAGGTTTGGTTAGGTTTGGTTAGGTTAGGTTAGGTTAGGGGGGGGGTGGATCTTCAGATGAGCGCGACTGGGCTTGATCATATGAAGATCCTCCCCCCCAAGTAGGTTTGGGGGGGAGGATCTTCATATGATCCGGCAAATATATCAAATAATGTAGACTTGGTTAATTAATGAATACAATAACAAGCATAACTCATTTGGAAGAAACTGTCACTTATTGCTTCAGTATCAACACCGTTTATATAAAACTGAGGAAACTACTTGAGAAATACTTTCAAGATATTATAATATCGAAGAAATATATATATTTTGTGGTGATAAAAATGTAATGAATTATCATATATTCTGTGGTATGGCACAAAATAGGTATCAATAAATGCATTAACATACATAAAAGCAATGTCTCCCGCTGTGACGGCTGACCACTCAGCATTTGGCTGACAAAAGACGCTGACGACATCGTAGTTTTTGGGGCTGTATACCTTGTCAAGACTGTCCTAGAATGATAAAGATGTTATTATACTTTGGTCAAAATTTCATGGCAAACTTATATATTGAAGGACAATTGCAAAGGAAAGAAGTACTTTTCTGTTGGTCCCCGTAGACTGGAGTGTATAGCATGAATATAATCAGAGGGAACAAAGTCATTGGGACAAGTATTTTTCCCTTATCAGTGCAGTACAGTACTTCCTTGGACAGTTTAAGATGCGTGTGTGTGTGTGTAAGGGGGAGGGGAGGAGGGATGGGTACCTGGAGTTCTTCTGCAGTACATGCATCAGGTAGGCAGGTGCCATAGATTATGTAACTTCCATTGTAGTTATTGGTGTTGATGAAAAATGGCGCTACACCTAAGTTTTGCTGCTTTATGGGTAGCCAGATGTGGGGACTCTCCTCTTGTAACGAATTCTTCAGCAGTATTTGTCTGGTGGTGTACATTACAGAAAAATCAAAATATAAACTAGGCAATCATTAATATAACAATCTCTTAATTGTTGGAAAAATCACAAACGGTACCGGTTTTGCTTAATATGATGTTTAAATTATCTGTACACAATTGTAAGTTACCTGGTAGGTATTACGTTAGACCAAAACTAAGGCTCGGTGTATAATTATACAGTATTACTATTTTGATTTTAATATTATCCTTATTGATAATATTTTGGACAAAAACCATAAATTTACTCTCGTTAAACTTGGGGATCAACTAAAGTGAAAATACTGTTTAACAAAAAACAATATATTGTGTTCATTCTTTTAGTATTCCTATATTGATCTGTCATAATATATTTGTTTATGAGCAACTCCACACTTATTTTACAATTAAATTTTTATTAGCCCGTTGTTGTTTTAGAACTTTATTTTTTTACTTAATCATCAAACTTAGTTCACACAATAGTGTCCACTACAGCAGAGTTATTAAACTAGTAAGAGTGAATTACAAAACTAAATTCATTAATGTTCCTTGATCTGCATAAACTTTCTTTATTACCCAAGTCCAAATATTTTATTGTAACATATATATATATATATATATATATATATATATATATATATATATATATATATATATATATATATATATATATATATATATTACTTATGAACTTGAGCAGGAACAAAAACTTTAAAAGTCATTTACCAGTGAAAGTGGGTCTCATGGGCATAACTGCCCGTTAGAAGGGACTGTGGACACACTAGATGACTAGGAGAAAGCATGGCCGCGCATGCTAGGTACCAGTAATAATGTGATAAAAGTACAGCAATTAAAATTAACAACAATAATGAAAGAGATGCATGAACCACTTAACTTACTGTAGGGTAACGGTGCAATATTGAGGATGAATAATATCATTCGGGGACTTGGTGTTTACACACTCGTCAAACACTCCCAGAAAAGTCTTGGGACCATAGTAGCCACCATCTCCAGCCTTGCCCCAGGAATCCACCACTAAAGAGACCACATGTCTTATATAAAGCTGTGATTTATTGAGTCAAACGGCACAAATCAAGAGGCAGTGCATGAAAAGAACTGCCTAGTGTAAGTTATAAGAGATAATGAAAGACTTTAAGTAAATGGTAAAGTAATATCATATACCCTATGCAGATGATATTCGTTCGCAGATTAGTGGAAAAGGGTGAAAAATGTGGTTTAAGAGTTAATACTGTAAGGACTAAAGTAATGGTTGTTTCAAAATTGGAAATATATTCTAAAAAAAAATTATGGTAAGCAACAGGCAACTTAAACAAGATAAAAATTTTGTGTAGCATTTGGGAAGTATAACAATAGGTGTGATGGTAGACGTGCGAAAGAAATAAAAAATCTTTAATTAAAATTTAAATTTTACACTATTTTATATTGTTTAGCATAGCTTTATTTACATTATTTACAGGTATTTAAATTGTGTATTATGTATAGGATATTATTGCTGTTTTGTGTGGGCAAAGTCGTGTTCTAACCTTACCTATGGAATTAACACTAATGTGACTAATGAAGAGGGTCCAGGAACATAACCCTTTCGTAGTTCTGGACTGCCTACATGATATCGCAAAGGCACCAATACCTGGTATACGCATTTCCCGTGAACTACAAAACCCCCGCACTGCTGTTAACTGATGTGGAAGTCAGAGTTGGCATTCACACTTGGTTGTATGATTATTTCATGTAACTGGATATCTTATAATTTACCTAACTGTTTGATCAAGTTAAAATACAAAAACCCGTTCAAAAATGCCATCAAAGCTGTACTGAGAATGACTACCTTAGCTTTACATTGACACCACTCGCGTAAATTAAAAGGCGAATTTAGAATTTATAGTGTTACACCGGTCTTTCTTTCGCGGTTATTAATATGTATTCGTGTTGTTTAGACAACTCTAAGACATTTTTCTAATATGATATTTCCACAGGAAATTAAGGATAACTTAGATATAAAATTTTCAAGGTTATTACTCTCGCTATAGCGATAGGAGTATTTTTATTGGGCAAGATTTGTTTTTGTTTTGGCCAATTAACAATGAGTGGATGAGTCGGGAGTGGAGATTTTAATTTTGAGTACCAGATATGGCTGAACAGGTGGAAGAGCTGTGCCGACTTTGTGAGAAAGATTATTTTGCGTCAGTTGCCGAGTTTCACCAGAAAAAGTGAGAGGCAAGTTTTTTTTTTTTTTTAGAAACAAAACCCGGTGTATTATCGAACATAGTTCTTTGTCCAAAGTGTAATAACCAATGTACACTGCGTGAAGAATAACACATTTGGCGGTGTCACAAAAGTTTTCTTCAGCCATTGACGAGCCAGATGAACCCGATTCTTTTTCAGATTAAGGTAAGATGTGGGGGCATGAACAAAGGGGGGTCCAGGGGGTGTTAGGTTGGGTTTTGTTGGTTGGTTGGTTGGTTGGTTGGTATTTATTTGTGATTTATTCGAGAAAAAATCCTACTTTTTCTGTTATGATTTTTGGGTGGGGAATTGGGGGGGATCCTCATAATAAAAAATAAAATAAAAAATAGTGATTTCCGGAGGAAATGGATATCAAATTCGTTCGAAACTCATCAAATAACGTAGGAAAAACCTACTTTTAATATAAAAATAAAGACCCGTGTGATACTATAAATTGACCGTTAATTCACATGTAATGGCTGAATTTAAGGATTATATTAACCAAATCTATCTGTGATGAGAAATTTAAGAACAGAATTTTTTTTGTGCGAAAAATGAGTCATGTGCCAGGGTGAGGGAAGGAGGAATGTCCACTGGCTTGTAAGAGTTGGTATGTTTTAGCATAATGAAGAATATACGTATATAACCTTATCACATGTTACGAGTGCTGTGTGCATATTGCAGGACTGCACACTGTTCATGTACATTAATGCAAAATGTCAAGAAAGTTTTTTTTCCATTGTGTGTAGGATAACAATGATTAACCATATATTACTAATAATCTGGATCAATGTAAATTCTAAAGGGAAAAATATTTTTTTTTCGTTTTCGCAAAAGAAGCAACGTAGAGTTGTACAGTACTTACTTTTGAGGGCCCAAGTCTGGTTTAACGTAACAGAGTCGAGCATGGTAATCATCGCCTCGAAACACGGGCTGCTCTTGTTAACACGACTCGGCACGTACAGGTCCCACCACCGTTCTGCCTGACGCGATAGCCACCGTGTTCCTGTATTAGAAGATTTGGTAAATTTGTACAAGTGCACACAACTGTTAGAAAGTAAAAAATATGTTTGGTAAATTTGTACGCGTGATGATTTATGAAGGAGACACGAAGTGTGGGAGGTGAGGTAGGCAATAATGGCGGAAGATTAATGGAAGAAAATAGAGAACATTTTGGATACGCTATCTCCGTTATTATACATTTGCGACGGTAATGTAATAGAAGAAAAATATCTTATAATTAGACGTCTTATTCGAATATGATAATAGATTAGGGGTAGAAATGTTGTGTGCGGAAATGCAATAATACCGAAGATTTTGAGCATTAAAAAATACAAGTCATTCTGATGTGCCATATACAATAGTGACAAACTGGTATTACCCACTTCCTATGTCAATAAGGATATCACACCAGCAGTTATCAGTATGGTGGCTTATATTATCAGATTACATGAGTATGCTACTTTATTCGTTGTTATTCAAACAAATGCGGGTAATGTTTTAAGCAGTAACCAATTGGTAAGTAACCGTAAGTTTTGAGAGCATCAGCAACAACAAGGGTTAAATCTTTAGTCAACTTATCTAAACAGTGTATATATTTTAGATTAAGAAAACTAAGTACTGTACTAGTCTATACTGGACTGTACTGTATAATTAAACGGGTCCAGATCTGACCTAACCAAACCACTCTAACCCGTCCCTCATTAAAGTCAACTTGACTCGTACCTATTTCAACACTAACGTTAAAATGCACATGAATTATGAAACGATGTTCTTTGTCTTATATATTGTGAACATAATCTAGTGACGCTGTGAACATTAATATGCTGATCACCCAGAGAGCTGGTTGAATGCAGTCCACAGCACAATATAGTCGCTGGTCCCGTTTGTCAGGTTACGGATGCAATGCGGGATGTTATAACTTTCTTGTTATTTCCTATTTATGAAATATGATACTATCGGTGACTGGTTTTCACCTAACAATGAAAAATTAATCGACCACGAGTGTTCAGAAGATAAGTTGGATCAGATAAACTTCCATGTCAAAGTGTCAAGATATCAAGGTGCCACATTCTACCTTTCAACTCTGTACTCCAGACACTGAAGTCTTATAAATTTCTGTCCGGTATGGCTGCTTTAATGACAGCATCAATGTTACGGAACCTTTATCAGGTGACGATCAATACCTCAGATCAGTTCTCCTGTGGCTGGGTTTATTTATAGTCCATCGTGACGCTCACTGCCACTGTCTGAGTCAACACTATTATTTACTAGTAATTCTAGCTAATTCTGCCGGTCTGGGAAGTCAACGATTGTATGAAAATGTGTGGAGGAGCTGCAGGAATTGATGCATTGGTGATGAGGAATGAAATAATAATAAGGGAGTAAATGTCCCTTGATAGAACCACGACCTCCTACCACAACTTTTATGCAAGATTTCGAATCGGTCTATTAGTTTATACGTATTTTAGTGTCAGGAAGATGTAGTGAGAGCCCTAAGTTAGGTTTGTTTTTATAGAATACCCTGAGTGGACAGCCTATGTAATCAACCGTATGACTCATCTATTTCATCAGTGCGCAACTTAACACACAAATTTTAGTCGACATTTACTGGGTCAAAGTATATCTAACATCGAGATGAACTAATAATCCCTGCTCTTTGACTAAGATTGTGAGATGAATTCCGGGCAGCGACAGGAAGAAGGCAATTGGTTATATTTAGCTATCATGTCAACTGGTACAGTAACGAACTAGGCTATGACATCATGAGGATTCAGCTACGGCAACACTCGTCGAGGAACTCTCTTGTAGAATCATTAGAACATAATAGATTAATTAATTACTAAAAATGTGAATTCACATTAGAACTGAAATTTAAGAGTAATAAACATTCTAAAAGACAAGCGTTGATGCTGATGTTTAGATTTGAGTTGTACTGTACAAGGGTTTTGGTCATGAGTTGTGATATTCTTATCCAACTGAAAGTGGACAAATGACCACCAATGTGTATTAAGGATATGATAAGAAGTTTCATTGCGTAAATTTGTACTCCCTACCACCATTCATTAGAGAGGCGTAGAGTTAGGGGAGATATGATAGAGGTGTTCAAGTGGGTAAGTGGGATTAACAAGGGTAAAATGGAAGATGTTCTGAAGCTCAGTAATAACGAAATAACTAGAACAAATGGCTTTAAATTAGATAAATTCCGATTCAGAAAGGATATAGGCAAGCACTGGTTTGGTAATAGAGTTGTGGATATGTGGAATAGGCTACCGAGTGCTATAGTAGGATCGGGGACGCTAGGGAGCTTCAAGACGAAGTTGGATAGGCACATGGAAGTGCTGGGATGGGTGTGAAAGGGATCTGCCCTGTATGGGCCAGTCGGCCTCCTGCAGTATCCCACTTTCTTATGTTCTTATGTTCTTATGTTCTTATAATCAAATTCTAAAAATGTAAAAAAATATACTGATAATATGACACCTAGAATGTAAATAAAAAAACAAATGCATTACCTCAACCTTTCCTTCAAACTTATTGGGATGCTCTTGAACCCAGAAACAGCCCCGAAAGGGTGTTATATAAAAAAAAACAAGTAAAAAATAAAAATCGCGTATACGTACACACACATTTGACGGTGACCTTCGACCATAGATAAACGTAGATAAAATAATCTTGGTTCATTAGTTACGTAAGTACCCATTTTTGACGGTCAGCAGTACCACTTCGAGCCCTCCCTGGGCCTGGACTATGATATGAAAACACTTAACACCAACATTCTCCAGCATTGAATCATTCCCTTCCTCCTGTCAACTGAACGCGTTTGATCACGGTAGTCTCAGTGAATTTACGACTCCATTTTGTACATCATATTTGTGTCGTAGTTACGGAGCTCATGCACGTTATATGCAATATTTTACGATATATGCAGTAAGTTGAAAACAAAAAACAGCAACATGGGAACCTTTGAGAATCCACAGAGATATCGAACAGCTTCACTGTTGGATACAAGGAACCGTGACGTAGACACAGATTCTGGTCTGTCTTATGCAATGTGACCTAAAATACTTTATCACCTATAAAGAATGACGCTGATTATTTTATCATCGATAAAGAGTGACGCTGATTATTTTATAACTTGTAATATGTGTTGCAGATTACTTTATAACCTGTAATGTGTGATGCAAATTACTTTATAACCTGTAATATGTGATGCAGATTACTCTATAACCTGTAATATGTGATGCAGATTACTTTACAACCTGGAATATGTGATGCAGATTACTTTATAACCTGGAATATGTGATGCAGATTACTTTGTAAACTGTAATATGTGATGCAGATTACTTTATAACCTGTAATATGTGATGCAGATTACTTTATAACCTGTAATATGTGATGCAGATGATTTCATAAACTGAATATGTGACGCATATTTATAACCTGTAATATGTGATGCATAATACTTTAGGACCTGTAATGTGACGCAGATTACTTTATAACATGTAATGTGTAACGCATATTACTTTACAACCTGCAATATGTGAAGCAGATTACTCTATGACTTGTAATAATTATGTGACGCATATTACTTTACATCTTGTAATGTGTGAAACAGATTATTTTATGACTTGTAATATGTGATGCATATTACTTTACAACCTGTAATATGTGACGCATATTACTTTACAACCTGTAATATGAGATACAGATTATTTTATGACTTGTAATATGTGATGCATATTACTTTACAATGAAATATGTGATGCATATTACTTTACAACCTGTAATATGAGATACAGATTATTTCATGAGCTGTAATAAGTGACGCAATTATTTTATAACCAGTAATATGTGATGCAGATTACAACCTGTAATATGAGATGTAAATTATTTAAGACCTGCAACATGTGACACACGGTTTTTATAGTTAAACGCATTATAAAATCGTATCCTACTGTTCTTTCGTTTCACTGCTCATAAATAGACATGTATACATAAATACATACAGGTACGTACATGCGTTTTCTAGCACCCTACATACACACATGATCCAGCCGCACCGATGTTTATGTTACAGAGTGGAGAGTGTTAATTCTGCCCCCAACCTAACTTACTGGCCCCCAAAATTACTTTGTTTAACTGTCTTAGCGTCTTGCAGGTGCTTCATCTACCTGCAGACCGGGTCTTTAAGCAACGTTTACTAAAGCTTTATTTCTACACGTTAAGGTAGATATTTACCGGTTAACCAAGATATGATTTAATAAAGGGTAATTTTATCCTGGTTCGGTTTATCTCTTATTTTCTTTTTATTTTGTCAAATCAAGTCATAAATAATAATTTAACAGGATTTTCAAGTCCCTTTGGATTTCTATCTATTTTACTTTTTATTTTTATTTTTACAGGATTAGCCCACCAGAGCACAGGTCAATGACCCACATCAAGGCCTGGGGGTGAAAATATAATAATAATACTAATAATTAATATAAATTAATATTTTTTGTATAAATATTAAATACAAATATAATAATAATAATAATAATAATAATAATAATAATAATAATAATAATAATAAAAAGTGTGAAACGATATATTTATGTACTGTATGTTGTGTTGTCAAAGTAAGAGATACAATTGAAACCCCGCAATTGAGTGGAAATGAGGCAGAAAGTCAGATCAGCAACTTGGGACTTGGTCACAATTTTCGGGATGCTATGTGGCAGTTGTGTCAACCATTATGCTTCCAATATCTTCCCAGGCGATAGTACCTCCCTGTTTGATAGCTGCCTACTACCTACTTCCTACCCATTACATGGTGTTCAAATTACGGTTAATATGATATAAATTGTTATATGGTGTTGTCTAGTGAGTTCTTTTGTTGCTGCGTGCCTATTTCTTATGTCCATTTGATTCTACTGAGAACTTTTCTCTTAATAAGTGGTTGGGCAAACACATGATAAAAGTATTTATTGTTTCGCATTCGTATTAGTTGTGTATATCTTTCATCCGATTAAAAATGGTCCAGTTGTTATATAATTATAAAACTAATTCCGCGAAATTGAGTGTTGTGACGGCACCGAGTGTGAGCTCTTTCAAGACCAGACTTGACCAATACAGGAGCAGGTTCAGATGCATTCAGGAGCCAGTGCATGCCCAGTACTTGCCAACAGTGCATAAGAAACGTGACCGACAGGCCAAGCGGTGAACGAGTCGACCAGTGGCAAAGGATAAAAGTATTCAGCATCTTTACCAAGTTTTTACAGTGCAGCTTCTTAACATTAAATTATATAAACAACTAAATAATCTCATAATTGAGGATGTATAACTGCACTTTCGATGCTCGTTGGAAGTTGACCCCTTGCCAAAGCCTTATACTACTCCAAATGTAAAGGTGTGGCTTTGTGTGTGTTTTATCAACCGGAATGGCACCAGGATAGTCTTACCTGCCAGTTGGTTCCATCCTTGTACCTGATGGCAACCGCCGCCATTGAGACAAACATAAAATACCAACAAAGTGACAAGCAGGTCGCTTCTCTGCAACATCTTCACCATCCGACCCCTGAGCCTTCCTGTATGATACTGCCAATCTGGTCACTATCCGTACACTTTATATATCATCGGATGCATCCACTACTTCTTATCACCAACTAAGGCCAATGATTATCTTATGTGATTAGCGTCCCCCCGCGCTAGCCTTCCCTCTACCTTATCCACTTACACTGTATCTGTCCAAACAATATTTGAAGCGTCCTAGCAATTTCGAGTTAATGATGGGGTTTGCTAACTTGTCCACTGTAACAGTCACAGTTATAAATCTATTATATTAATACCCACACTAGGGAGCTACCCCTTAGAAACTGGTTTTCTCTAGCGAGATGTAGTTCATTTTCTTTATTACCTGACATGCCCTCCTGTAGTATAAATTTAACTTTCACTTTTATCTTCTTTACCACTGATCGGCTCGTTAGCCTCTTGGGCGATCGGTCACGTCTCTGTTATGCACTGTTGGCAAGTACTGGGCATGTACCGGCTCCTGAATGTACTCGAACCTGTTCCAGTGTTGGTCAAGTCATGTCTTGAAAGAGCTCACACTAGGTGCCGTCACAACACATTCTGGCAGATTGTTCCAAGAGTTCACAACTCTCACTCCGAAAAAGTTTGTCCTCACAGTTTTCTGGACCTGCGGCTTCTTCAGCCTTGAGCTGTAACCTCTTGTGGGGCGAGCGTCCGCCAGCTCCAGGTAAGGACACTCGACGAGTAGTGCCCCTGGAGATGCTTCTACACCCCAATTAGGTCGCCCCTTGCCCGTCTGTAGTATAAGCTAGGCAAGTTCAGGCGCTCCAATCTCTCAGGGTAGCTGAGGTGCCAAAGTGCAGACACCAGTCTGGTGGCCCTCCTTTGAACATTTTCAATCAAAAATTATATGTAACACGTATGAGTAGCAGTAAGTTATATAAGCCTATCATTGGCTGAAGCATTGCAAATTTCAAGTTTTGCCAATCTTAGTACACCTTCATTCCTTTTCCTGTCCGTGCAACTTATATCTAACATTCACCTTTAACACCACATTCAAAAGCCCCTAACCTTTCTGGTGTCAGCTGAAAGTGTCCACGCTTTTGACCCATACAACAGTCCTGACCATAATTATATAGCCTTACAGCAGCCTCTTAATTTGAAGTTAATGTCCCTGTTCATTAGAGCTATTTTAGATTACAAGATGCTGTTTTTGCTTAGCCTACTCCTTGTGATTTCTTTCGCAAATCTACCATCACAGCTAATGTTACTTCCCAAATATACAACATTTTCCACGTGTTTAAGTTCTGTGTTATCTTCCATAAATTTTATCTCAGGAGTTATTTCTAATTTGGAAACAACCATTACTTTCCTCTTTACAGCATTAACTTTAACCGATATTCTTTACCCTTTTCATAAATCTGTTAACCAGTTTTTGTAACGCCTCTTCACTATCCGTAATTACCTTACAGTAGCATCATCTGCATAGCGCATATGTTATATTACTTTACCATTAACTTTTATTCCTTCATTGTTACTTAAAACGTATATCATTAAGAACTCTGAGCTTATTTTACACAATGTTTGAGACAACACACCTCTAACTTTGAACCAATTAGTAAAGTTCATTATTAACATGTTGCCAGTAAAAAAATATCATTAATATAAATGAATAGTGCTAGATTTAGCCCCGAAATCGCTTAACTGGCACCATACCTGGAGCTGGCGGACGTCCGCCCCAAAGGGGTCACAGCTCAAGATTTAAGCAACCATTAGTCCGGAAAACTGTGAGGGCAAATATTTTCTGAGAGAGAATTGTGAACGCACTGGAACAATCTGCTAGAGAGCGTTGTGACGCCACTGAGTGTGAGCTCATTCAAGGCCAGACTTGACCAACACTGGAGCAGGTTCCGATATATTCAGGAGCCAACAGTGCGTATCAGAGACGTGACCGATCGTCCAAGCAGCTAACGAGCCAATCAGTGGAGAAGAGGATAAAAGTAAAAATCACTACTGCAGAGCAATGCTGGGAAAATACAAAGAAAACTGAACGAAGCTCTCTCTCATTATTATTATTATTATTATTATTATTCCATATCACTGACCATATCAGGACCCACATAGCTCATGGAAATTACACAAATGGTAACGTTAGACGCGCAAAGTCTTTTTGGCTTCTCCGGGGTTTTCAAGACCAACCGCTGACTTTCGCATTTACAAAACTGAAATAATACCCACCAAACAAACCCCTTGTAAACCTTACCCAACCTTTCCTAGCTTTTGGGTTAGGAAAGGTTAGGCAAGGTTCTCAGAGGTTTGTTTGGTGTTCTATTTAGTATTTTACACCACAGTTTCCCACTACTTCGAAGCCCTGCCCACTTTGAACCATGATTGTAGGTAACTGGGGAGAGGGGGGTGGGGGGTTCATGTCTCCATAACGACTCATTTATGATGGAAATGAAAGTCAGATCCGCTTAAAACACAAAATACACAAGAAACCTAAAACGAATCTTTACCGCAGTATTATCAGTCCGAGTCATGGCATTCACAATTCCTGGGCACAGAGGAAAGCATGCATTACCCCCTCACCCTCCCTGGACCCCACAGTACAACAACACATTTTTATCAACATACCTGCACTCAACTGCTAATAATCACAACGTAGAGTCCTGGAAGCCTTACAGCGCCACAAACACTTTGTAATCCACAAACAACGAACGTAAAACCCGGAAATAGCCATAAAATACTGAATCACCATACACACTAGTAGCTGTCACTGGTGAGTGGCGACTTGGGCGAGTCCAACTGCAGAAGCAGAACCCGAAGAAAGTATATATGCCGAACCAAAAGGAGCCGAACCTTGAGGTGCTTTGATTCCTTAATTCATTGGTTCGCTTTACTGATTCACATGAAAATCACTTACGTATCTATTTACAGACTAGGTGGCAGAAAGAACGTAATTTTCTCAAATTACTTCAAGCCATCCATCATAAGTTAAATAAAATTAACTAACGAATCTCATGAATAATTTTAATCATGAGATTCGAAGCTTCGTCACCGATCCCGCTGTCACAACATTAAACTAGTCCATAACCAAACAAGCAGAGGGCCACTAGACGTTTGCCTTCATAATTTTTCCCTGTAAAAAATGGACCGTTTGAAAAAACAAAAGTTAATGGTAATCATACGAGAGAGAAAGAGCTTCGTTCAGTTTTCCTTGTATTTTTCTCCACATTGCTCTGCACTAGTGATGCCAGTTAAGCGATTTTGGAGTTATACAGTATGTAGCACTATTCATTTATATTTTGCAAGTAATTCGCATCTACCGATAGAAAATCAATAAGCGTTTAAAATATTATAATCAATTTGTTTTCTTGTTATTCTCTGATAAAGTCTTACCTTTTTGCTGGATAATTTTACCTGTGACATTCCAGCGAGTTTTAAGGCGTATGGGCTTATAGCAGGTTATTTATTTATTTATTTATTTATTTATTTATTTATTTATTTATTTTTGTTTTTTACGAGGATTAGCCCACCTGAGCACAGGTCACTGACCCACATCAGGGCCTGGTGGACGAAAATATTATAATAATAATAATAATAATAATAATAATAATAATAATAATAATAATAATTAATAAAATAAAATAATAACCATAAATACGAAAACGAAAAAATAAATCAAGAGCGAGAAACGATATACAGTATGTATGTTGTGTTGTTAATAGTAAGAGAAACAATTGAGACCCTGCAATTGTGTGTAATGAGGCAGTCAGATCAGCAACCTGGGACTAGGTCACAATTCTTGTGATGCCATATGGCAGCAGGGTCTTCCATTAGACAAAACATTATGCTTCCAATATCTTCCCAGGCAGTAGTACCTCCCTGTTAGATAGATGCCTACTACCTACTACTAATAGTTAAAATTGTTAACCCTGTTATCCTTCGCAATTGGCGTGAGGCCGAGGAGAAGTTCAGTGCCTTTTCCGAATGTGTTGTCAGTGTGCATTGCATTGGTTCCTCTAAACTCTAAAGTAGAGCTCTTTATTATATTGTTATGCCAAGGCATAATTTGGTATTATAGTGTTTGTAAACTAGGTGTGTTTTTTTCCTTTTTCTGTTGCAAGCAGCAGTTATTTTGTCAAGTTTAAGGAGATTTTCGTGTACATGTTGATGTATTGTAGTGGATTCCTCCCCTACAAACGTTGTTTGTCGCTGACGAGCCGACCCACGAATCCAGCCGCACCTCGTGTCTAGGTCAGCAACCAGCGCCGCCATACATCACGGAGGTCAACTATTAAGCCACGCCTACCCCTGCTATATAAAACCTGACCTCGTGGTGACCTACCTCTTTCTACTCACTGCTACCAGCAAGCTACACCTACTCCTCCACTCCTGCCTGGCGGCCCTCGCTCCCGTCGGCGACCCACAAGCTGGTCCTCCTCTGAGCACCCTCACCAACCAGCTCTCTCTACTCAACGCTTGTAACCATGCTGCCTTCCCAGCACCAAGCTGCATTGTACATCCAATTCAACATGTATACAGAGAGCACATTGTGAGTTTCCTTTCTCCATCCCATCCTGAGTGTGAACCAACATCTCGTACCCCACAATTGGTGACCCCCGGAGATTCACACCCACATAGGATGGAGGAGAAATATCACATAACCCCACAAATGGTGACCCCCGGAGATTCGCACTCACACAGGATGGAGGAGAAACCGATCACTCTCCCAGTCTTCAAGCAACATGGAAGACTGGCTTATCTACACAGAGGCAGCTCTCATCGGCTCTACAGCTACTGTCTCTACACTGCAGGTCTGCTTCTCTAAGCAGACATCAGCTCCTCTTCCTGCCCCAAGCACCACGTCCTACCGACCCCAGCAGGCACATCTGAGGACTCTGTACCTGCCGAGAGGGAAGCACAACATTCATCGCCCCCACACACCGTATTTTTTCCCCTCAGGCACTCTTTGCTACTGTCCTGCACCCTGCTGCTGTCGTGGACCCTGCTGCTGTTGTAGAACCTGCTTCTATCATAGACCCTCCTCCTGACGTCGCCTCTGACCCAGTCATCCCAGCC